TGCCTTCTTCCCTTCCCCAGTACTCCAGGGTCTGTGCCCTTGGCTTTGGGACAGCGGGCCCTATTCCCTGCACCTGCAGGCAGCTGGGAGGCTCTCGTGGGGCCTCTCAGACCTGAGAGGGTGTCAGAGCCGCTCTGCTACCTGCCACGTTGTCAGCAGGCCTGTGAGTTCACCTGTAGCAGGTGGTTAAACTGATTGCCTAATTTGCTTTTAGTTGAGAGAGGAATCCAGAAAATTTGTATGTGGATTACTCTGGTTGAAAATAACTTCTGAACTCAGACTTGGCTGTGCCTGGCACTGTGGGCAAGTCACACCCAGTTGTGAGCGTTGAGGGTGCTGACTGCTGAGGGGCATTGTCTGAGTCACGGTAGGGGGAGATAGCAGGACCATTCTGGGGCCTGCGCAGTCACTAGCCCAGTCCGACTCTTGCCTAGCTGGAGGCCCAGGCGGAAACTGGCGGCCCTGCTTCCAGCACGCCTGCCTTGGGCACTCTCCCCTCTTGATCGAAACAACTTCTGATCCAAAGCCATTGCAGGCTGGGTGCTTTGCTTCTGCGATGGGGTCCCAGAGCCAGGTTGGGCACCTCACTGAGAAGGCCTGGACACTCTTGGTGTGTTGCCAAGGGCGCTTGCCGCTGGGCCACCATCCCTCCCCGTTTGCCTGCAGAAGTAAAGCATTAGAAGTCCCTGGTCAGATGTTTGGAAGGTGTCAGATTCTTCATGAAGGGTCTCCACGTGGGGGTCTCGGGGCTCTGTGTAGCCATGGATGTGACTGTCTGGACAGACTTGCACAGACTTGCATCAGTTGCCACTGTGTAAAACTTTGTTTTTTAAAAGATTTTATTTATTTATTTTTAGACAGGAAGGGAAGGGGAAAGAGAGGGAGAGAAACATCAGTGTGTGGTTGCCTTTTGCATGCCCCGCACTGGGGATCTGGCCTGCAAACCAGGCATGTGCCCTGGCTAGGAATTGAACCAGTGACAGTTTGGTTCGCAGGCTGATGCTTAGTCCACTGAGTCACACCAGCCAGAGCTAAACTTTTTATTTTAAAATAACAATTCAGCCCTGGCTGGGTTGCTCAGCTGGTTGGAACATCGTCCCCTACACCAAAGGTTGCAGGTTCGATCCCCTATTGGGGCACATGCAGAAGGCAACCGACTATATGTCTCTCTCTCTCTGCCCTCCCCCGTCCTTCTCTCCATTTCTCTCTAAAATCAATAAACATATTCTTGGGTGAGGACTAAAATAATAATAATAATGAAAACATAAAAATTCAGATTACTTTAAACCCAGAGACCTGGTACACCTCCCATAATCTTCCCTCTCGCCCCAGCTCTGCACAAGGGGTGGGTTTCCGATTAGTATCACCCTTGCTACTGCGGATTTCTCATCCACCAAAGGTTAAGAGCAGTGTTTCTAGTACATGTGTCTCCATCAAAAGGTAGGTTCAGGAGGCCTCATTCCCTCTGATCTCATTTCTTTCAAAGGTCTGGCCCTGAGGCTGTGTGTGTGAGACCTCACTCTACCAGGTAACCTGCTGATTGGTGGATAGCTTCGCTGACTTGCAGCTTTTAGGTAGAAAGGGGTGGTCCCTCTCCCCAGCTCAGTGAATCAGCCCTGCAGGGAGGAGGGGTTAGAGAACGGAAGGAACAGAACAGGCAGAAACTGTGGTGAGCTGAGCACTCTCATTTCCTCTAGGGACAGGCAGAGTTCACTTTCCAGGGAGCGTTGCTCATCCTGGGAGAGGCGGGGGCAGCTCCAAGTTTAAGTGGGACCCTGGATGGGAAGAATCGAAGGAGTTTTGGGGACGCCATACCTGGGTTTCAATAGGCTTGCCTGAGGTCTCTGAGGCTCAACAAAATGGGCCTAACAGCTTGTCCTTGCTGAATTGTTTCGAGTGGGGCTAGTGTATGAAGTACTGGGCATAACGTACTGGCAAGTGGTTTGTAATAATAATTAGTTATTATGTTTGAAAAACAGAAACTTGGTGTGGGTGGGGAAGAGGGGAATATAAAGAAAGAAAAATAATCCCTTGCCTCTTGGTTAGATTGGAGGTCGGATTTCTAGGCCTGTTGGTGCCCCTTGCCCTTGTCTCCCTCCCTCCTCCCGAATCAGGCGGACACTGGAATCTCTTCCTGGAGACGTGCTCAGTCCTCACAGCCTTGGGAAGCACAGGAGTGTCGGGAGAGCCGAGGACACTCCAGGGAGGGGTGGAGGGCTGTTTTCGCGTTTGTGTGAAGGCCACCATCGCTGGCGTTGGTCCGTCCCCTGACAATACTGCCAACTCGTTTTTCATAGTAAAACGGGGGAAAAGATGTCACAACTGCATTTCGATGCAGAATGTTGTTGAGGGCAATGCAGGAAAGTACACTGATGAACAAGCTTCTGCCCTGGACCATTATCTAATCAGCCCCCTCTGCGCTGTTCTTACTGTCGTCTTCTGACACTCTAGTTTTATCATCTGGAAGGATTTCTGACAACCATGGGTTTGTCCAGCCAACGATAAGCTTCTTGGTGCTTTTACTTGTGTATGTGTTTCTAATTGTTGGTTTCAATCACTCTAAACAGCTGTGAGACTCTTGTCCAGAATCCTAGAGATTGAAGAATATGCAGATAAGACACAAAGGTGGGGAGGGCGGGACGTGGGCAGACTACAGGGTCACACCCCAGACCTCAGCTGTGGCTCCCGCCCCCGGCATCACAAAGCCCCCAGGCTTTCGCCCCAATGACTCACAGCCAATATCTTCATCAGGTTCAGTTTTGACACATGAGTCTAAGATACACAGCAGATTGGATAGACTGAGAGTAACATTACTCTTTTAAAATAAAATTATACACAGCTTGCTAAAATCAATGAAAACCAGCTTAGATTCTCAAGAATTCTGAGCTTCATATGAATCATTTGATGCGGGATGTCTGGCCTTCTCTGTTATAGAAAACCTGGAAAATGTAGAAAGGGGCCAAAGAAGAAAAGAAAATCTCACCACCAGTCCCGTAACTCTCGGAGCTGTCTCTCTGCTGGGCCACAGCTCACCGCGGTGCAATGACTGTTTCCTTGCAGTCACTCCGCAAGCCACCTGGGGCCAGGGGCCTGCCCCATTGTTCTGTGTGTCTGCTATAGGTGCTGCTGTGGAAACTGGGGCTCTTTCACGGGGCCACGAGCAAAGCATTTGGGGAGACTCTCGCATTTCGGGAGACTCTCGTATGGCAGAATGAGGTCTGGTGGTAAGGTTTATTTGGGTGGAAATAAAAGGCTGCCCTGGGTGTCCAATATCTTATCTTCGTTTATCCCACCATGGAAAAAGTCCAATTTTGTCTTTGTCAGGGCCAGAAATAGGGCCAGTGTCCAGAGATTCTGTGCCATATTGGAGCTCAGTCCTTTGGAGCCCCCGTGCTCTGCCGCAGGCCCCAGATGGCTGCCAAACCCACGTGAGGGCTACAAAATTCAGCAAGGCATGGGGTAATAGGCATGTGTTAGAGAGGGAGGGGGAGGGAGGGGGAGAGAGAGAAGGAGCTTCTTCCTTAAGCTTATTTTATTTATTTGGGCTTGGGACGTACCTGGTGCTTTTTCAAAATAACCAATCAAATTTCCCAAGTTTTTGCGGGCTTCTGAAGGGCCCATCTCCTAACCAACCTGTTCTTTCTCTGGCCTAGACTGACAGGGCCTCTAAGTTGCCATTTTGGCTCCTACCGTGCATGTGCTCACCTCCTGCTTTATTGTTCTATCCCTCCAACACCCGCCCCCCCCCCCCGCCCCAGTAATCTGCAGGGAGGGGGGCCAATGTTTCCCTGGGGAGTGTGTGAAGCTGTAGCTTTCTGGTGAAGCAGGCAGGCTTATGCTCCCTAGTTGACTATGCTTAGTAATGTCTGATCCCCTTTGCCTGCCCCCATATTAATAACTAGCTAACTGCCTATGCAAACACAGGCTTGGTATCACATGTGGCTCAAAGTAATCAGAACCAGAGGGGTTTCTTCTCTCTTTGATGAGGGAAAAGAATGCAAGCTTTGAAGTTAGTTATGCCTCAGTTCAAATAATCACTCTTTATATTAGTTTTCTATGTGACAAGTCACCACAAACTTAGTGGCTTAAAACCCCATCTGTGAGCTTACAGTTCTGTAGGAAGAAGGCCGGATGGCGGAGTCCAGGTGGGCTCAGCGAGCTTCCTGCTGAGGGTCTCAGTGAGCTGAGGCCCAGGTGTCAGCCAGGCTGGCCTCTTACCTGGAAGCTTTGGGAAGAAGCTGTGTCTATGGGCCTTTGGGTGGTTGGCAGAACCCAGTTCCTGGCGGCCACAGGAGTGAGGTTCCCCTCTCCTTGCAGGCCGCTGGGGGGCTGCTGTCTCTCAGAGCCTTTTGGGAGTGAGAGAACCCACATTGCCTTTCACGTGGCCCCTCCACCTTCCAAGTGTCAGTCTGCGTGTGCCCTTTTCAGGCTGCTAGTCCCTCATGTCCTCTCTGCTGCCTGGGACCCTTGAAAGGTTTTGACTGAGAATTAGATAAAGCAAGGTGGTGAGTTCCCTTACAGTGCCTGTTGAGGGTCAGTTCTTTTTCATTTGCTTCTCACGGGGCCAGCTTTATTTGGAATCTTGCCTGATTCTGATACTGTGCAGCAGGATCGGACAGGGCCGTCTTCGTCTCAAGTACTTGTCATGTTAAAAGTTGTCACAAATCATCGTTTTTCTGGGTCGAGGAATAAGAGGAAAGAAGAGTGGTGGCATGCCCTGATCAGAACCTCTCGGACTTTCTCATTCCTTCCCCCCACCCCCCACCCAGAGCGCAGGCTGCTTGACTTCAGCTGCTGCCTCCGGGAGCATTTGGGGGTGGGGTGAGAGCTGGCTGCCTGAGCCTTCGGACAAGTGGTGGCCTCAGGTCGGAGGCGGGCCCACCGGCAGCTGGCCCCTGCCACTCAGCGGGGAGGCCGGCCCTGGCCAGGGGGAGATGAAGAGGGTGTGGGGGCGCCTGAGTGCTCACGGGCTCTCTGCCTGTCCCTCTGTGCTTCCTCAGGAGATCCTCCGAGAGCTCACTCTGGATGCCCTGCTGGACATGAACGAGGCCAAGGTGAAGGAGACGCTGCGGCGCTGTGGGGCCAGTGCGGAGGAGTGCGGCCGCCTGCAGTACGCCCTCACCTGCCTGCGGAAGGTGACAGGCCTGGGTAGGTAGGGCCTGCCTCCCCAGCACTGAGGCCACCCCATCAGCTCCCTCTCCCTGCGCCTCGACCTAGACACCCGCCTTCCCTCCCCAGGCCTAGCCTGGTTCCCTGGGGCCACGGTCTTTGCTGAGGTAGATGGTGGGGGTGGGGGGCAGGTGTGGCCCAGGGTTCCTGGGGTAGCTTGGAGAGGTCCGAGTAGACATTCAGAAAGTGTGTGATGGACCTGACCCGAGATAGAGGCTCTCTCCAAGTCAGAGGGCTTGGATCTGGACTGGTGTGGCCAGTACTAACGCAGGGACGCTTTAGCCATTGTTAGAAACCCCAGGCTGGTCTGCTGGGCGGGCCCTGTACGATTTTCCCTCTTTGGAGCAGATTTGTTAGGTCCGTGAACCCTCCAGCAGCTTCCTTGCCTTCCAGCCCCTCTCCCCACCTCCTGTCCTTGTCGGCTGGGCTGTGTGCTCACAAGGCACACACCACCCACCAAGGTGGGCCCAGCCTGAGCGAAGCAGGATTCGAGGAACTACGGTGTTTCAGCCTCGGGTTTGTGTGCACGGCCACCCCCAGGCGAAGGGTGTGATCCTGGATTAGATGAGCTCCCAGGAGTTATTTGCTGGCTTCCTGAATCTTGCCTGGGAAACAGCTTCCAATACCCTGATTGAATGCTCCCTCTACCAACCATACAGACAAGGCTTTGAAATGAGCCTAATGAGTAGAATTAGCCCTGTTTTTTAATGATCTGAGTCACCTGTCTTTATCTCTGGCTGCCAGAAGCTTAAAGAAGGCACTGAGGTTTATATTCTCCTCGATTTTTTTTTCTCAGGGAGGGTTGGGCTTCATTTCTTCCCCAGCCCCATTGTACCAAGTCCTCCCGTGGACACAGAGCCGCCGTGGAGAGCTGCACTCAGTTCAGAAAACCTCGGCACGCCAGGCCTCCCGGCAGGTGCTAAGTTCTAAACGTGGCAGAGACGTGGCCAACATTCTGGTCCCCATACTTTACAGAGGAGGAGCCTGAGCCCAGAGGGGGGAGGCCACGGACACGCATGCGCGCGCATGTACACACACACACACACACACACACAGAGTGGTTGGTGGCAGAGAGGGGCTTGAAGCCTCAGTCTTTGATGGTGGTTGGTTTGCGCCCATGTTGTGGAAATTTAAAAGCACTTGTCATCCAAGCAGAGATCTTGGAGTAACGTGTCACCCCTCCCTCCATTGTGGCTGAGTGGTGAGGACTGTGGAGGAACCAGCTGTCGCGTGGTGGCGACCCATCCGTGGTAGGAAGGCTGCTGTCTGCCTGTTGTGGGTGCCAGGACAGGGAGGTCACTAACTTAGAAGCACTGACTTATTAAGCCAGGCACTTGACACTCGTGTGGCAACACCCCTATAAGAGGTGGTGGTAAGCTCCTTTAATAGCCGGCGCACCGGACAACACTGGGCGGGTCGTCTGGGTCCCCGAGCTGGCATGTATCGGGGCTGGGCTTGGAACTCGGGTTTCCACCCCAGGGGTGCTTTTTCCACTGTGCACTGGAGGAGGCCCCTCCCAACAGGGTCTTTTCCGGGTCCTTCTCTCTCATTCAGTCTCAGCTTGTGGTGTGCCCACATCCCCAAATGGGTCCTGACTACACCCCACCCGAGTGGGGCAGCCCAGTGGTGGCCATACTTGAAGGGCACCGTGGACTGGGTGGGCACTAGCATTCGCCCGCCTCTTGGACCATACGAGCAGGGTCTTCGTTGCACATAGCCGGGCTTGGTGAGAGCAGCCTAGTTTCAGCCTAGCTCAGCCATGTACAGCCTGAAGGAGCTGGGTCACTGATTTAACCCCACGTGCCTCAGTTTCCTCATCTGTGAAATGGAGATAATAACAGCACCTCTCTCTCAGGGTTGTTGCAAGATGAGATTAATTACATTCAAGTGCTTAGAACAGAGCCTGTGATGAATCAGGTGTTCTTCTCAGCATTAGGCTGTCATATGACGAGAAATGTGCAGGCTATTTCCCTTGTGGTCTCTGGCATTAAAGGTGAGTGAAGGGAGCTTCTCTGTGTCCGTGGCTGGTAAACGGGGGGCCATCACGCCGGCTGATGCTCCCCGTTCACCCACAGCGCTCATCACTAATCAGTCCCCAGGCTGCTCCTACTTTGCAACTCCAGGGTCTTTCTCAGGAGCCACTGCCGACTGACTGGTGTTCATGTGCACAGTGAGACCATCCCCCCTAAGCCAGCTCCTGGCAGTGGTCATAGCCAGTAGGCAATTTGGAGAACCTGGGGCGTGTTCCCATGGTGGCAGACTTACCCATGGATTCACGGGTCTCATTCTTTCATCCCCTGACCCAGCGATATGTCAGTGCCACCTGTAGATTCGTGTGTGGGTGAAACTGTAAGCCATGGCAGCAATTCCAATGGAGCAGGCCTCAGGAGCACGCAGACTGAGTAACTCGTGCTGCCAGGTCGGTTCATGAAGGGAGAGTCACCGTGCATTGAAGTAGGAGGAAGGGCATTAGAGGAGGGGGTGGGACGCACAAAGATACCCTCAGAGTGGTGCAGGTTAATCTCTCTCCATTGCACCTGATGCGTGGCTGGGTGGGCAGGACTCCCTCTGGTGACAGAGAGCTCACGGCCTCCCGAGGCCGTGCCATTGTAGGTTTCTCAGAACCGACACCCTCGGGGGAGGCCAGCGCTGTGGTCGGGCCAGCGGGCTCGGCTGCCATCCCACCGCTTGCTCGGCTGGCTGACCTCAGCAGTGCTCGTGGCCTCCCTGAGCCTCGGCGACTGTGCATGCTGAGAGGACGCAGGGAGACGGGGTGCAGGGCACACAGCAGGATTCCAGGGTGGAAGCTCATTTTGTCTTGAATCATAGTCTACTGGCCTGTACTGTGTACTCATTAATAAACATGAGGAGGGAGGTGTCTTCTTCCCCACAAAAGGGTCTCTAGATGGGGTCCTTGCTCCTTGCCCCCACACCATCTTCTGTAAAGTTAAAACTCAAGTCCTTAGCCAGACATCCAGAGTTCCTCCTGAGCTGGCCTTCCAGCTTCATCGCCTCCGTCTGCCTGTCTCATCCTCACCTCTCAAGGCACAGGGAGCTCTTAGTGGTTACCAGAAGGTGCTGTGTGCTCCCTGCCTTTGCCCATGCGGTTCCCTCTGCCTGGTACACCTCCTCTGGGGAGCCCTCTGACCCTGGGGCTAGTTAGGGGTCCCCCCCCCACGCTGTGCTCCCCCTGTCCCCATCCGTCTCTACGTCAGCACCCGACTCACCGTGCTGTGTGTCGCCCGCACTAGACTGTACAGGCTCAGTGGGTGTGTCTTTTTATGCCTTAATACCTACCCGGTGTCCAGCATGTGCTTGAATGAATGGGCAGATTGTGCCACTGAGTTGAACCCTGCGGAGCCTCGGGGTGTCAGGGCCTTGGCGAGGGTCACTGTGGGGGCAGCCAGAAGCCGTTCACTGGCTCCTCTCAGAAGTCAGAAGCTGCTGATCCCTCTCTAGCCGGATCTCTTTTCTAGCAAATTCCCAGGGTAATTTGCTGTTGGAAGGTTGGTGCAGCCCTTTTTCCTGAAATGTGAATTTTCTCAAAGTGGAGTTACCCCTGTACACATTCCAGCTTCTCTTTCCTGACTCTCAAAAGGTCCATCACCACTTCCTGCTCTGAAGGTGCCCACCTCGGGCTGACTGTGCTGGCTTGCTCCCCACAGGCCTGCCAGCAGGAGCCCCGCTCAAGCCAGTCCCTCTCTGGACCTCATTTTCCCCTCTGTAAAATGGGGACAATAATATCCACGCCGGTGGCCTCATGGTCAGCTAGGAAAGGTGGAAGAAAAGACAGGAGAGGCCCTTATACACCAGGTAAAGCGGGGTAGTTGAAGCCTTCCATCGAGGAACTGTGCGGCCTGGGACAAGGTGCTTGACAAGGCCCTGGCCCCCTTGCTGTGAATCCCTCCAGCCCCAGCCTTCCTGACTCCCTTCTTGGCCCACAGGAGGGGAACACAAGGAGGACTCGGGCTGGAGTTCGGTGGACGCCCGGCGGGAAAGTGGCTCAGGGCCTCTGGCGGATACCCTCTCACCGGCCTGCCTGCCCTGGGCCCCGGGGAGCTCCCAGCTGGGCAGGATGGGCAGCAGTGCCCAGGGCCCACGCTCCGTCTCCGTGTCGGCCCTGCCCACCTCGGACTTCCCGACCCCTGGCCCCAGCGAGGGCCTCACGGACACCTGTGTCCCCCTGCATGCCAGTGGCCGGCTGACCCCCCGTGCCCTGCACAGCTTCATCACCCCCCCGACCACGCCCCAGCTGCGCCGGCACACCAAGCTGAAGCCGCCGAGGACGCCGCCCCCCCCTAGCCGCAAGGTCTTTCAGCTGCTGCCCAGCTTCCCCACGCTCACCCGGAGCAAGTCCCACGAGTCTCAGCTGGGGAACCGCATCGATGAGGTCTCCGCACTGAGGTGAGCAAGGGTTCCTGCCAGACGGGTGCCGAGTTGGTCATCTACGGAAAGATCTGACTACGGTTTTCTCATTGTGAAGGTGACATAGACTCAGTTTTAAAAGGGCATAAAATTGACTAACATATAAGTATGCACAGTACAAAGTGAACGGTGCCCACCCCTCAGCTCACTCTCCAGGCTACCTTAGGGTTCGGGCTGAGTTCTACTAGGTTCCTTGCAAGTGTGTGCATGTGTGTGCGCACATACACACACACACACACACAAAAGTGAAACGATGCCCTGTACCAGTGGGAGAGACTGGGTTCCGCTGCAGCAGCAAATGACCCCTGGGTCTTAAAACAAAGATTTCTTTCTGGCCCGTGCTGCCTGTCCATCATGGGTCTGCCGCGTTCCAGGTCCCAGGCTGATGGACAGCCACCGTCTGGGATACTCCACTGTGGCAGCAGAAAAAATATCTTCATACGGGATGCACTAGCAATTAAACGCTGTCTCCTGGAAGCTCCACTCCCCATGCGTGGTGCTCCCCAGAGGACCCGAGGCAGGCAGGTCTCCCCTGAGCCCAGGAGAGCACCGGACAGCTGGCCGGGACCTCTGACGTGCGTGGGAGGCCGTGCGCTCTCCTCCGCAGTCTGTGTTTTCCGCTTCCCCCGACACCTCTGGGAGCTTCCTGTCAGTACATTTGGAAGTACCTTACTGTCTTATTTTTTTAATTTCTTACCTGTGTATTTTAAATAGGTAGTCACAGTCACATAGTCTAACGTGCAGAATGCTCTGTGGCTCAGCTTTGTAGGGGTGCAGAGGGCAAAGTGACCCCTCCCGTTTCCCTTAGTCGCCCAGCTCCCCTCTGAGGAGCAGCCAGGTCATTAGTTTAGTATTTATTTGTAATTACTCAAATGCCTCATCTTTTTCACACTTTTATGTCATTCCATTGTGTGGTTTAACTAACTCCTCCCCTCCTGGTGGACATTGAGTTCATTGTCACTTTTGTTGTTACAACAATTGCCCTTGTCAGTATAGCCTTGTGGGCAGGGCAGAGGAGGGGGAGAGCTTTCTCTGGGTACCTGTCACCCTCTTGTACCCCTGGGGTGTGGCTCCTGTCTGACCTGAGCACCCCTTTTCCGGCCTCGGGGGGACTTGTCCTCTGTCCCAGTGCAGGCTGCCTTGGGCCCTTCATGGGATGGATCCTGGATATCTATGACTTTTTTAAATTTTTTAACTTTTTAATATTTTTCCCATTACTATTTAGTCCCCTTATCAGATGGTTCTGAGTATGTCACCCAAGGGGAGAAATCCCGATCAGGCTGTCCTGCGGGGGCCTGGACCCCCTGCCCCACTCCCCTGGAAGGGACGCAGCTTTCCTTCCCTCTGGGCCCTCTCCTCTCAGAGAGCACAGTGACAACCGCTGTGTGGACGACACTCGGACATGTGTGAATCGGAGGGCATCTCAGTGGGCAAAACCCAGGTGCCTGCTTTTCATTTTCTCCCAAAAAGAGCACTAGTGGGGCTCTGGCCTCGTCCTGGCTCCAGGCAGAGAACAGCCTCGGGCAGGTGACCACCGCCTCAGATCCCACGGCTGGTGGCTGGGCTGGGACCCGGGGCCTCTGAGTCGCGTCTCCTCAGAGCCACCAGAAGTAGCACTGACGAGGACGCTCAGGCCACCGGCGGTCCGCAGTGAGCCCCGGGGGCCGTCTGAATGGTGTGGGTTCCCCAGCTCTCTTCGTCCCGGGACAGCCTGGCTCAGGGCTTGTCCCCACCTGGCCCTGCTTGGTCCCTCACCACCGTCCTCCCTGCCCTCCTGTCCCAGCCCTTTCCTCTCAGGCAGACTGACCCTGTCTCCTGCCTGGACCCCAAGCATTCCTCTCCCCGCATACAGACAACGTGACCTGGGCAGACTCAGAGCCCCTCTTCCTTCAGCTGTGTGTGCAGTGGGGTGCTCTAATTACCATGCGGGGTGGCTGGCGAGGCTCAGAGAAGCCGATGTATCAGCCTGCATAGCTGTAGCTTCGGTGCCCTCTTGAGGGGGGCACTTCCAGCCCTTCCCCTGGAGGCAACGCCCCCGCATTCCCTCAGCCACCCTAGCCCGCACCCTAGGGGCTCGTGGCTCTCCCTGAGCAGCTTGCCCCCCCTTCCCAAGGGATGGTGTTCTGGGGACCTGCCCAGCCAGCTCGGTGACCTAATCCTGCACTCTCTCTCTCTCTCTCTCTCTCTCTCTTTCTCTCTCTTTTGTCTTCTCCAGGTTCGGTAAGAGTGATTCATTTTCGTCCCCTCTGCCTCCGGGAGCTGTGCTTGTGTCACCGTCCCCCTCGGGGGTGGATTTCTTTGACCCTCTCCAAGTGCACTTGGCCTTTCCATGGTCCAGGAGCAGAGGTGCCGGGAACCACCTCCGGAAGTAACTCTAGGACAGGTGGCCTTCGAGGGGCAAGGTGACCTCAGCCCAGCCAGCAGCTGGGCTTTGTGTGCAGTGACCTCGAGTGTCATGGTCTGTGGGGAGTGTTTCCCTGCTGGGCTGCCATGGGAACCCCGCTCTCCTGAGAGGCAGGCACCACCTGTCCTGTGCAGGGGGACAGTGGCCATCTGCAGCCCCCAGCTGACTTCTCAGGACCCGTCCCTTCAAGAGAGGGATGTCCTTTGAGGCAGGAATGCCACTCACCTCTGAACGAGGCCCTGAGAGAGTGGACCCCTGGGAGGAGCTGGGGGGAGCCGGGCAGCCTTGACCTCCTTCCTACCCGCCGACCTCTGGGCTGGGGGCAGCCCTGCACGTGGTGGCTGAGCCATGGGCCCTCTCTCTCTGCAGCGGGAGGCAGCGTGCCTCTGGCCTGCTTTCCGTTGTCCCAGTGGCGATGCAGAGATCTCTGGGTTTTGCCCGAGCCAAGTAGCAGTCTCTTTGTGTCCTGTCCTGAGCTGGCTAAGCAGAGCGATGAGGAGGGGCAGGCATTGACTTTGCCAAAATGCAGCTGGCTGCAGGACCACCAGGGAGGCATAGGGTGTGGAGGGGGGAGGCTGCCCTCCCCTCTCCCAGGGTACAGGTGGAACTCCAGGGCCTCCCAGAGCCTTGGAGGAGAAGGGAGCCCAGCATCTGTGTCCCCAGGGCAGCCTGGCCCATGACTCTCCCGGGTGCCGCGGTAATGCAGGGCCCGTACCAGTGAGGCTGCTTCTCCCGCCTATCAGGAGGGCGGGACAGGGCCTTCAGGGCTCCGTCTAATGAGGGGCAGTCAGTGCCTGGCACGGGTGCCCTCATTGCCCCGTGCCCGAGGTACCCTGCATGTCACAGGTTGCGCTCAGAGAGAGAAGGTTGGAATCCTTTGTTCCGTGGCCAGTCTCTCTCAGGCTGGCAGCCTAACCCCTTTTTGGCCCATGTGCTTTGACGGCAGTGGCTGCTGACTGGGGTGAACCCCCGGAAGGCCTTGGGAAGAGTCAGCCCCACGGCAGAGGTGCTGGAGAGAGCTGTGGGCTCCTGGTCATCGGCGGGGCAACACAGGCCTTTTGGTCCCAGTCAAACTCCCCTTGGTGTGGGAGGAGTCAGCAGCTCCAGCGTACCCATCTCCTTGCGGTCGGGTGTGTGGTCCTTGGCCCCCAGGGAGCCAGCACTTAATGAGCCCCAGCTGTGGGCCAGGCCGGGACTCAGGGACCTGAGAGGGTGCAGTGGCCTTCTAGGGGCGGTGGGGGCAGGGCTGCTGACTCACAGGCCATGAGATGACCATACATTCCTCAAGCACTGTGTTCCTGATCTTTCTGAGTCACAGGTTTCTGATAATTGGATGAAAGTTTAGGTCCTCTTTCCAAGGAAAAGTGTACAGCTGTCTGCTTACCAGTCCAGAGAGTTCCCAGACCCACCCATGGGCTCAGCCGAGAACCCCTGTCATGAGGAGACAGGCAGTGCCGAGGGTTGGAGGAGGGGGCACACAGGTGGAGGAAGGGGGGAGGGAGTTGGAAGTGTGGGCTGTTGGGCGATGGAGGGACTGCTTTCGGCTGGTCCTCCATGCCAGCCTGTGATGCTAGACACTGGGGATGCCGGTTCTCGGGGGAAGCCAGAGTTAGGAGGCGAGCCCAGGGTGCCTGCTAAGGAGGCAGGCAGAAGGGGCATCTCAAAGCCCGTGGCCTGAGACTTCCCCAAAGACGCAGACTGAGTGCCAGGTGGGGCGGGCCCTGGGAGTACAGGAAAGCCTCACTCGTCCTGGCTCCGCCTGCTACAGTCTGCAGCGGTTGCCCTCAGCAACGCTGTCAAGGCCGGGGAGGTACTGGGTGTGCTGCACGGCTGACCAGCCCCAAGCCCCCTGCCGAGGGTCAGAGCACTTCCCCCCACCTAACACGAAGGGACCAGAATCCAGCCCTCGCACCCTGGTGAGCCGTGGGTGTCCATGAGAGAGTGCCAGAGTGGGGGCGGGGGGGGGGAGCGGGTTCTGCCCTCACACACACTGCCTTCTGCCTCTCGAGCCGGCCTCCCCCGCAGCTGGAGACTGCGCGGACGGTTTCCGAACGGCCTGCGGAGGCCAGGCAGGTGTGTGCACTAGAGAGGCTGGCCAGGCGGGAGGGTGACCACGCGCCCCACCTGGTCTAGCCTGCCCTGCCCCTGTGTTGGTGGACACAGTTCAGGGGCGTTGCCCTGCCCTTCATTACGTTTTCCTGCCATCCAGCCTGTGATCTCAGCAGAGAAGGTCACAGGCACAGGCTGTCCCTGCAGGGCTCCCTCAGCCTGCCGACTCGGCCCCTCTCCCCGCAGATCTCCCGCACGGATCCCCACAGATGGTACGGAGGGACATCGGGCTCTCGGTGACACACAGGTAGGCCCAGCCGGGCGGGGACCCACTCGTGCGGGGTCACGCTTCGTCACAGTGGGGTCTGTCCTGGTCCCTGTTTCTCGGGACTCTCTGCCTCTCTTCTGTCTCCATCACCTCTGTGGAGGACACAGCCCCGACCCCTCGGGAACCCCTGCCTGTCGCCTGCGGCCACATGGACTTGGACCCACCCTGCACCTCCCTGGGTTTCTTCCCCAGTCTGTTGAGGGAAAACCCAGGTCCCAGGAGAAACAGGGTCATAGTCTTGGGGAGGGGAAGCCAGAGCTTCTTCTGAGTCCAGCTCGATGTCACGTGGGTCCTAACACTGTTCACATCGGTGCCCCATTGGGCTTTTTGAAACTCCAGACTCCTAAGCCCCCTTCCTGACGTTCTCGGCCTGATGTCTGGGTTTCTGGCGCCCATGCACCTTGGGGAGGGCTGGTGTGGGCCCGACGACCAGCAGCAGGACAGGGCCTTGGGTGCCTGGGTCTGGCTGTCCCTGTTAAAGGCCCTTGTGACGGCAACAGGGCACGCTTGTCAAGAGCTTTGCATCTGGCCAGGGCTTTTCATCCCCCCTGCCCCAGACTGGGAGCCGGCCTGGGGTTCTCAGCCTGAGAGGGAGCCCCGAGGGGTAGAGTCATTTGTCTGAGGTCGTGCAGCCAGTAAGGCAGTGCCTGAGCCGTCTGCCGGCGCCCAGTTGTCCCTGTGTGCAGCCCTGTGGGAGCAGGGAGGCCTGTGCCCCAGGGCCCCAGGGGCCCCAGCACTGCAGACACCCAGGTAGGCACCGGGAGGGGAGGTCCAAGTGCCTCCCTCGGCCCTGCCTGAGGTGCCAGCGTAGTCTGCCCGGGGCCGGGGTGCTGCCGAGAGCAGGGCCTTTGGAGTCAGGACCCTCCGCCATGAGCCATGCACCCGTGGTCAGTGACCTCTCTGAGCCTCGGTTTCCCTCTCTGCACACAGGCCTTCCTTCTCATCTTGTCACTCAGATAAAGTGGGGTGATGTGCGTCTGGGCCTCGAGTGTCCAGCAGTGGGGAGCACTTGGTGTCCCCCTTGGCTGTGGCCCAAGAGAAGCCATTGCCTGGGGGGTACTGCAGGGTCAGCAGGTCCCTTCGTTTCCTCCTTGTTGTGGCTGCACCTGGTTCCGCAGGGGTTGAGGTGGTGACCGTTTGCCCCAAGTCCGTCCCAGACTGCCGTCCCTTCCACCTGCGGCTGCTCGGCCCAGAGCTGCTCCCCGGGCAGGGTGCAGCACCCCTGCTCTCCGGCCTCGCCAGGCCGCCTCGTCCCGCCCCTCCCAGGTTCTGGGCTCGGGCAGGTGCTGTCACAGTCATGCCCTGTTGGTGTTTCAAAGCCCTGACCCCAGCCCCTTTCGATGACAACGTCTGACAATTCTTGGTATAATGACAGGGGGACAAACTGTGCCATGACCCTCCCCTGGCCCCGGGGCTTTTACCCGACCTCCACCCACCCCAGGTCCAGGCCCAGGGTCATTAGATGCCCCTGAACTGCTCCTCTTCCCCTAGTGTTGACCTGAGAGAAGAGGAAAACCCAGAGGGAGAGAGAGGGCGGGTCCCGGGGAGGCAGGATCAGGGCTGCTTTTTAAGTGGCACCAACTCCAGGGAGGTGGGTGCCTTTGTCCTCCCCTCCAGGAGCTCTGTCTCGGCTGGTGGAGACAGTAACACAAACCTCCTCCACAGCACAGACACCCCACATTTGCAGGGCACACGCGTGATCCCCCCCAGGCCACTGTGGGGTGAATGTGTGGGCCCGTTCGCAGGGCCTCCGAGGCACACGCCACAGACAGTGGTTGGCAGGTTCCATCCCGGCGTCTGACCCGCAGCCACGCTCTGCCTCTCCCACGCTGCCCGGTGGTCTCTCGCAGAGGAGCCATGCAGCTCTGCGCTCAGAGACTAGGGGTCCGGCCCCCACTGCCCAGCACCCCAGCTCTGTGACCTCAGGAGAGTCACCCAGCTGCTCTGAGCTGGTGTCTTGGCCTGTGTACTAAGGATCCCAGAGCTTCCTGGCTCCCGGGGGTGGTGCTAAGAGCTGAGTGAGCCAGTGCTCATGGACGGGCTGCAAACTGCTGCTTGAGTGCTGCTGCCGCTCGCTCTGCGTCACTGTGATGTGCTGTGCTCTCGGAGCCCTCCCCTCCTAGCTGCGCTCAGGCCTCCCCACCTCGTGAACTGGCTTTGGGCTTTTTCTCCGCAGGATGCTACCCACTCAACCCCCATCCTTCCTTCCAATGTACCTCATGCTTTTCAGTTGTAAAATTTTGATTTTGTTTGGATTGACATACATTCAAGCATTGAAAGTCCAATAGGTATAAAGATACATATATGCGGACAAGCCCCCCTTGCCCGTGTGCCCCGCAGGCAGAGCTGGCGGTTTCTTGTGTCCCCTGGAGGTGTTTGCACACGAGCAAGTGCACGTGTCGGGGCTCCCTCCTCCTTTTTCACGTCCACACGAGTGCTGCACACGCACACTGCCCCGGCTGTGCCTTGTTTTCCTTTTTAAACTGAGGTGTGATTTACACAGCGCTAAGCACACAAACGAGGTTTCACACTCGTGTACACCCACATACACCACCCAGATGAGCGCTCAGCGCTCCAGCTCCCAGAAGTTGCCACCTGTCATCGCAGATTACTGTCTGGTACTTGAGTTCCACGTGAATGGAGTCATGCAGTGTTATACCTTACCTTTTTCATGGACGGTGCCATTTTGGAGATCATTCTGTGTCTGCACAAAAAGAGCATCCTGGTTTTCTGTTCTGGCTGCCTGGTGCTCGGTTGCATGGAGGGACTGGACTCCCTGTAGTCCGTCACTGATTCCCCCGAATGGCGGGGGTAGCTTGCCATCTTCTATTGCTGCAAACACACTACACTGAGTGACCTTGTCTGCGCACCGTTTGACATCTGTGGGAGTGTCTGTTGGACCACTTCCTGAGCCTGGGGCTGCTGGGTCGGAGGGTCTGCACACTGGTCCTTTCGGTTGTTATTGCCAAGTTGCCTGCCAACCAGCCGGCATCAGCGGCCACACCAACTCTGGGATTTTGACAATGAGGACTTTGTGGCTGGGAATTCTGAATGCTGGGTGGGAGGCAGTGGCCCCGGGCTGTCCCTGAACTTCCAGGGAGAGGGTGCCTGGGGCTCCAGGTTGGAACGAAAACTCCTGGTTTCCCCGAGCTGTGTGGGGACCCTTCTCCATCCAGGCCCAGGTCTCCTGGCCCACGCAAGCACCTCTGTGTGTCCACCCTGCAGGTTCTCCACCAAGTCCTGGCTGTCGCAGGTCTGCCACGTGTGCCAGAAGAACATGATGTTCGGGGTGAAGTGCAAGCACTGCAGGTGAGGGGTGGGTGTGGGAGGGGTGCGAGGGGGTGGCAGACCTCAGACTTGTGCCCTTGGTTGTTGGCCTTGGGCAAGTCAGCGTTCGCAGGGTTCTCCTAAACTCAGATTCACGATCCCATTCGGCACCCCGGGAGTGATCAGCCCCCTCTAGGGGACTGAGGAAGCATCGAGCAAGGCACTCCCAGAAGAAGGGACTATTTGAGGTGGGCTTTGCGGGATGAACAGAAGTTGGCCAGGTGGACCAAGGAGGAAAGTGAACCCCAGGCCAAGGGGGTGTCTTGCACAAAGGCCAAGGGGAGTGGGAGGACCGTTCGGGAAACTTGAAGGAGTTCTGAAATCAGCCTCGCATTTTAGCACACAAGGGAGGGGACACAGGCAGCGGTAGAACAAGAGGCAGCTCGTGGTGCTCACAGAAGGAAAGGGTGCAGATTCCATGCAAATCTGACGTTCTTCACACCACTGTGGCTTCTGGAAGGAGAGGAGGACAAGGGCTGGGAGCAGTGTGGTGTGAGCAGGGTCCCCCCCCGCTTTCTAGCTGCCCTCACCTTAGGGAGGGTGGACCTGGACTCTGCTCCCGCCCACTTGGCCCCGACATTGCTCTGCGACCTGGGGTGAGGTGCCTGCCCTTTCTGGGCCGAGTTTTTGTCATGGATATATCTTGGAGGACGCTTCCAGGTTTACGCCCATCAGGATTGCTCTAAGAATCTGAGCTAGTATGTGTAAAAGCATTTGGGCTCCCACAAGGCTGCAGGTGACGGGTCTCATCCATGTCTGGTGGATACAGTGTTTTCCTGACGACTCTGATCACTGAAGGGATGCCAGAGCTTTCTCTCCAGTCTTGGACTGTTGTGGCTCCTGGCTGTTTAAACTAGGACCACCTGTTCCCTTTCAAGTACCACCTTTCAGGTGGGGAGGGCGACTGTTCAGCCCACTGCTGCATCTGCAGTGTGAGGTTGGTAGGACCCCAACTGGGGGCCCATTTGATTGGCGAGAACCCGGAGACACAGGGCAGCAGGCAGGCCCCAAGCGAGAACCCAGCCCTTTCCTCTGCTGGCCCAGCCCCGCTGACCCTCCGACCACAGGGGCCCCCCCTGCATCCCTGGGAAATCCTTGGGTGGTGCAGACGTTCTCCTTCTAATGCTCCTTACTTTGTAAGGTCAGGTTCCTCCGGAGCCTTCTGAACACGGGTGGGGGGGTCTTCTCTCCTTTAGAAAAGAGAGATGGGGGGCCCACACGTGACAAGGGGGTATAGTCCAGCCTGCTTTGCTCTGAGGGTCGGGCAGGCAGCAGCGAGCGTGTTGACGCCCCCAGACGGCGGCTGCCAGCACTGTTGACCCCGGTGAGCCGGTGTTTGTCTAGGAATCTGGCGCAAGACCAAGCGGTCAGGGGCGCGTTGCCCGGCCGCGGGGCAGCGCCCCCTGTCGGTGCGCCAGGCCCTAGCCCTCTGTGCGCTGAGCCCCGCCCCCCCCGCCCCCCCCAGGTTGAAGTGCCACAACAAGTGCACGAAGGAGGCCCCCGCCTGCCGGATCTCCTTCCTTCCAAGTGAGTCTCGGCCCTTTCTCTCCTCCGCCTTCTGCGTTCGGGGTGGGTATTTCTTTGGCTCGATCTGGGCCCTGCTGATGGTTTCCCCTCTTCAGTAGCCGGGATTCGGAGGACAGAATCTGTCCCTTCGGACATCAACAACCCGGTGGACAGAGCAGCCGAACCCCACTTTGGAACCCTCCCCAAAGCACTGACAAAGAAGGTAGGTTGGGTGAGGGCCCAGGGGTCTGTTGCTTCTGCCAGGAGAAGCCCCACCTGGGGGCCTTTGTGTAAAACCCCCGACGTGGAGGTCCAGCGTGAGGACACAGTGCAGGCCTGTGGCCGAGCGCGGCCTCCGGGGAGCCTGTCTTCAGCCACTTAGCAGACTTCACACTTAGAGTTACGTGCGGTAACGCCGCTCCCTTCCTTTGTCAGCTAATATTTCTCTGACTGGGCGCCAGGAACTCTTTCCAGTGGTGCTTCCGCTGACCCTCAGAATAGTTCTGAAAGGCACATCCTGACCTTACCTCCATTCCACAGACGAGGAAACAGTGCCGGTCCCATGGGAGTGAGAAGCAGGCCTGGCCCTGGAGCCGCGCCTCAGCCCCGGTGCGGCTCTTGGGCCTTCAGAAGTGACGTGAGCAAGTGCACTTCTTCCCGCAGGCTGGGTGGGGCCTCTCCACGAGTGCGGACAGACGTCTCCGCAGCCAGACAGATTCTTGAAGGCCTGCGTGCCCCGCAGAGGGTCTGCATGCCTGTCGTGGATCCCCGTGCACAGCTCTGCGTGCACGGCTGTGTGTGGTATCTGTGAGGCTCCCATGCTGGTGGCTTCTGGCAGCCACCCACCGCTGTCCTGGTGCCACTGAGTCGATGGCCTCCCCCAGGCACCTGTGGGTCTGGCTGTGCGTTTCAAGCATGTTATGTCCCAGCCCTGGACCAGGGCTTAGTGTGTTCTTGCCTCCTGCCTAAGGGGCCCGGTGACTGGCGGCTGCATGGCTGGGCCAGCCTGGGGAAGGGAGGACCTGAAGATGCAGTGTAGGGGGCTGCTCAGGGAGAGTGTAGGGTCCCCTGTTACTGTCAAACCAAGGTGGCCCGCTGCTCCAGACCTGCTTCTTGGCCTGCATCTCCCCCCCGCCCCCCACCACCACCATGAGGGTGTTCCCACCAGGAGCAGCAAGGGGAGTGGAAAGATGATAGGCTCCACCATCCTGGGTTTGAGTCCTGACTATTCCCCTTCGTTCTGTGACTTTGAGAGGATGCCTTTCCCTCCCTGAGCCTCAGCGCTCCTATTTTGTAAAGTGGAGATGCTCTGCATGCACAGGGGGTTGCAGGGGTAACGCCATAACATTTGTGGACTCACCGATCAGGAGCCGTGCCCCCGGTCACCTGTGTCTAGCTTCCCACCTGTCGCAGGTGGGTGCAGTTCCTTGGTGGTGTGCCAGGCCCGTGGGTCTGCCACGCCCCTTCGTGCCAGCCCTGTTTCTGCACCTGCCCTCCCCTCCCAGCTACGCCGAGTGCACCCCCATCCTCACACACCCCTCACTCACCGCACGCCCATTCACGCCCTGGCACATGCACATTCTTGTTTCTGCCCACTTGGACACCCACCTCTCACTCTCCTGTCAGTTCTCAGAACCCGCTCAGGGTCCCTCCCCTTCCAGGAGCCCCTCCTGACCACACCTGCTCGGCCCTTAGCCAGCGGAGAACGGGGTCTTGTCTCCTTGGGAGCAGTGACTACGCATTGGCCTCCCCATGTCCCGTTTGTGGTCGTTACCATCCCCTGAGCCAGTAGTTGCTGGGTTCTCCTGGGTGCCAGGCATTGTGCTCGGGGCCGCACTTTATCCCTTTCATCTCACAAGTGCCGGCCCGTCTCTCGGGCTCTTCTCTAGCCACCCCCTTGCCCCACCCACCCTTGCTCAGACAGGCTCTGTGCACCCCTACCCGGGAGTGCTGCGCCCACTGCTCTCTCTGCCCGGAGCTCTCTTCCCAGCATTTAACACCGTCTGCATCCTCAGGGTGGCCCTGCCCAGACGCGGCCTCAGGCACAGGCCCCGACCGCACCGCTGCTTTCCCAGCGCTCCTTGCCACCTGCCGTGGCACGGTGCCGTCTCCGAGTGCTGCCCGTCTCCCTGGTGCAGGTGCTCTGGGGTCAGGGCCCCCTTAATCCTGCGGGGTCCCTGATGCCTGCATCAGTGCCTGTCACACAGCAGGCAATAAGGTGTAAATGTTTGTGCTGAAGGTTGAGCAGATGAGCTGACACCCCCACTTTATAGATGACACACTGGCCCAGAAAGGCGGGGTGGTTACGTTCAGGTCATGCGCAGGTGCCGAGTGGGGGAGCTGGGAGGCAGCCTGCCTCGTAGCCGCTGCCCCTGCCCCTGCCCTGGCTGCCTGGGCCTTGGAGTGGGATCTGGATGGTTCGGCTCCAGGCCTTGTTGGCTGTCAACTTTTTTGACCACGGAACCCACCCCTCCCCACCCGGCTGATGTTTGGATCTGGGGAACAATGTACCGCTTCACACAGAAGTGGTCCTCCCCGAGCCCTCTGTCAGGTGGCCCTTTGGTCCTGCTAGGGCCCAAACCACTGGGCGGGGGGGCCCAGCTAGCAGGTCTGTGAAAAAGCGGACGGAGCACTGATAGGCTGTGTGCCACACACTCAACAAATACTTGTCAGAGGCTGAATTTAATTCACTACAAAACCCAACTACTTGCAGGCCCAGAGCCGGGGCTGGAGGTTGATGTGCAGGCGTGGTGCCTGCCCTGCCCTCCCAGGACAAAACCACCCCAGGTGCCTGCAGTTGACAAACCATGGTTTGTCCTGCTGAGAAGTGCCGGGAACTATGAGGGACTAAGAGGAGGGGCATGGTCCCAGCCAGGGCTCAGGAAGGGCCCCTGAGAGGGAAGTATGTTCGAGCTGAAATAAGATGAGCAGGAGTCCTCCGGCAGGTGGGCACTGGGGTGGGGGTCTCCCTGTGCCATTCTGCCCTCAAATATTAGATCGGCGAACCGGATGCTCGGGGCTGGCCTCTTTATTTTCACACGGAGGAGGGAGGGTCCCGGCGAGGGGTGTGGGAGGCAGGCTGGGCGGCGCAGTGACAGTCCCTGCCATGTGCCACGTCTGTTCCTGCAGGAGCACCCTCCAGCCACGAACCACCTGGACTCCAGCAGCAACCCGTCGTCCACCACGTCCTCCACGCCCTCCTCGCCCGCTCCCTTCCCAAGCTCATCCAACCCGCCCAGCGCCACCACGCCCCCCAACCCCTCGCCCGGCCAGCGGGACAGCAGGTTCAACTTCCCAGGTACCACACCTCTGGGCTTTTGTGGGCCTTTAGCGATGGGGTCGCATGCCCCTTCTCAGCACACCCCAGGAGGCTCAAGGTCAAGTACTGCAGCGACTAAGAGCACTTGTGGGGACCCAGGCGCTGGGCCGAGCTCAATCACATTGCCCTGTTTCACTTGGTAACAGCCCTGAGGGGGGTGCTGTTATTGTACCCATTTTACACATGGGGACACTGAGGTTCAGAGAGAGGGAGTGGCTTGCCCGAGCTATACAGTAGAGCCAGGACCAAAGCCAGTCGGACACGAAGACTGTGCTCTCGACAATCCCCATGCTACCCCCTGCACGGGCCTGGCTTCCACTGGGCATTGCTCACTCACTCCACTCACTCAGGGCTCATGAGCTCCCAGGAGCCAGGGTGGGTCCGGATGGCCTGGGAGAGGGGATCTGGCCCCTTTCTCCTACCTGCTCTGGGATCTGGACAGGCTACCTAAGTGGAAGGGTGTGTTTCTTTTCCATAAAACAAGAGACTCTGTGAAGTTGGCATTAACGTATCCCCGGGTATAGATAAGGACACCGCGTCCCCCAGGGGCATGCGTGCTGGAGCAGACCTGACCAGAGCTGACCTCTGACTCTGCTGCAGCCAAGGCTGCGTTGGGGTGTCCTGCCTCCGCACGGAGAGGAGTGAAGCCCACTTGTCCGTCTGAGGACTGAGCCTCAGCCTTGGCCTCCCCGGCAGCTCCTAGCAGCAGGTTTTGGCCTTCAGCGTGTTTCAGTTGGCAGCGTGGAGGAAGGAGAGCGGCTGGGATGCCCCAGTTTGCTCCCGGCCGTGGAGTCCAGGTCAGGCCCACCTGTCACTGGCCCCTGAGGCTCCAGGCCCAGGAGGACAGAAGCGCAGCTCTTCCTGTGCCAAGGGACCCCCAGCTGGGGCCACCCGCAGCCAGCGGGAGGCCTGCAACCTCTCTGAACCCATCTCAGCAAGGTTCTAGGGACGTCTTTTGGGGATGGTGAGAGACGGAGATTTTTGTAGGAATCTTTTCTCTTTTGCTCTCCCTTCACTGTAATACGCACGTGGCTGGATACCTCCTGACACCAGTGCTTCGTCCTGATCTTGCCCTCCCCTCCCTGCGACTGAGCTGAGCGATGGCCTATTTGATTAACCTCCTCTCCCTTTCTGCTTTGTCATTAATATGCTGTGAAACTGGGCCCTTTGCTAAACCTCCTACTTTTGAGTTTTTCTAACAGGAAGGGCCTGTTTACAAAACAACAGCTACTGAGAAAGTCTTTGTTGTGACGTCAGCCAGAGCTTCTCAGGTTTCCCTGATGTCCCCGGACTGGTCCCTCGTTGTCCCTGCTCAGAGCCCTCGCTCTCTCCAGGACCTGTTGTCTCTCTGGTCCCGCAGTCAGCGGTCAGTGTCAGCGGTCAGAGTCGGGGCTGGACTGCCCAGGGGACAAATCTAGGAAAGGAACCCCTGCTTTCAAGTCACTGAAGCCTCAGCGCCACTCTTAAGTGTTTTCAGAATCACTGTTTTTCTGCCTGTTGTATTTTACCCTCTTGGGCGTGTGCACATTTCACAGAGAAGCGACCCAAGAGGTGAACAGAATTGGCCAGAGCTCTGAGGCAGAGTGGCCATGGAGACTGGGTCTCTGAACCCCAGTCCCCCAGGGCAAGCCCCTTCACTCCCGGGGGCTCCTGCCAGCACCTGTTTTCTCCCAGCTTTTTTCTTCCTCCCTGCCAGGATCACCCTGTCCTGGCCAGGCCCACCCGGGGCGTACCTGCCCCAGCCCAGTAACCAGCCCCTCCCTTCCTAGCCCACGCCTGTGTCCCCTCCCCCCTCGCTTCATTTGCTGTTCTGTGTGTGACTCACCTCCTCTTCTGTTTAAAGCTGCCTACTTCATTCATCATAGACAGCAGTTTATCTTTCCAGGTGAGTCTTTTGCATGGTTCCATTAACTGCTCTTTGATGTGACCCCTCTGTCCAGTCTACCTGGGTGCCCTCGTCCTGGGCACCTTGGAGGTGCTTGAGTTTCACACCCACCTGTTTTGAGAGCTGCCTGTCTGTTGAGGCTGGAAAAAGGGGGATAGGGTAAATTGTAGCCTTCACAGGGGCAGTGCCTTGCCGGGAGGGAAGGACCTTGACATCCATTCTGTGCAGCCATTGCACAGAGACTTCAGGCAACTTGTCCAGGGTCACACAGCCAGAAGGTGGCAAAAACTCAGTTTGCATAATGGAGGAGAGGACTTTCTACTGGTGCCTTGTGAGCATCTGTCATAGTTTCCCCTGCACAATAATAAGGAAGCTAGCTGCTACTCTGTCTTAAAAAGGGAAGGCCAGCCCTGGCTGCTGTGACTCAGTGGATTGAGTGCCAGCCTGAAAACCAAAAGGTCTCTGGTTCGGTTCCCAGCTAGGGCACATGCGTGGGTTGCAGGCCAGGTCCCTAGTAGGGGGGTTGTGAGAAGCAACTACACACTAATGTATCTCTCTCTCTTTCTCCCTCCCTTCCCCTCTCTCTAAAAAGAAAGAAATAAAATCTTTTCAAAAAGGCAGTGGGGTTGGGGCAGTCTACAGGCTTCACTTACTTGGTGCATGGCTCCATCTGCTGGCCATTTGTTGGAAATGCTTCAGTGCAGAAAGTTGAAAAACTTTCATTCAACTCAGTAAGACAATTTCATTGATTCCTTTCTACAAAAATTGTTTTGTGTACCTACTATGAGCCAGTCATTGCATTTGACCATATTCCTGCCCCTAAGGTCATTATTCAATTAGTCCTGGTTTTTCTAGCTGAAGGTGGCAAGCATTATTATAAGTAATTTGCAACTTTAAATCTTACTTTAGCCATATGAAGATTCCATGTGTTTTAGACAAAGACTGCAGCTAATTGTTTTTTTCCCTACGTTAAACAGGTCTGTCCTGAAGTCATTGTATTTTGGTTATTCCAGGCTTTCCTGTGCCCTTGCTCAGTTCTGTCAGGGGGGTGACTTAGAGCAGTTGTTAGTTCTCACAGGATCACCCACATGGCACTGCAGGCAGGTGCAGGCTGGGGTCGGGGCAGGCTCCCTGAGCAGCCTCTGGTTCCATGCCAGTTTCTGCTGTGGTTCTGCAGGAGGCTCCCTGGTGACCAGCTCTAGGATGGTGCACAGGGGAGTACCTGAAAGCATTGGGAAAAAACCTGCCTCTCCTTCCGGAAGGGTCTGTCTTACTCTGAAGACACGTTGTGGGGAGGGGAGGGAAGGGAAATGTATTTCTATCAGAGCAAACATGGACATGTTCTGGAGCAGAGTGCAAAGTGTACTCTCTGTGTTTAAGGGGAAATGTGAGGCTTCAGAGACATTTTGCCTTCCCACCTGGAGTGCTGTTTCTCCCTGAACACCCCCCACCCCCACCGTGTTCTCCTTCTGTGGAGTCACTTGAGCAATGCGGATGGGTAGATACCCCGGGCTGCCCTGGCAATCTGCAGACATGATGTGGTGTCAGCCGGAGGCCTCAGCAGAGGCTCCCCGGGTCTGGGACCCCCCGGAAACCGTGCACAGGATGGTGGGTGCACGTATGCGTTTCCTTGGTGAGAAGGCCCAGGCCTCTCTCACATCCTTAAGTCTGTGAGACACTGAGAACCTGTGGTTCAGATGGCCTTCAGGAGTAGGCTGGGGGAAAGCCCAGGAGGGAGGTGCAGGGAGGTGTGATGGCTGATGGGGAGGCTCTCTGACCTAGAAGGCAGGGAGAGGCCACTGATTAGCCTGAGCCACTGCTAATTCCATTAAGTGTCCTTGTGCTGATAAAAGAGGAGGGAGCAAGGGGCACCCCCGGCCCTGGGGCTGCCGCTCCGTGAGTGCTATTTAAGGAGGTGGAGATTACAGAAGGAGGCTGGCAGCAGAAGCAGCTATGAAGTTTGGCTTGTGACACATTGGTTTCACCCTGGGGTGACCGTCTGTCTGGTGTTCCCAGTGCAGCTCTCGGTGCTAAACCTGGGAAAGCCCCAGGCGCAGGGCCAGCCTCAGCTGATGTGTGCACTGTGTGTCTCCTGCTGTCCCCTGAGAGCCGTCCAGCAGCTGAGCACACCTCGAAGCCCAGGGGGTGGGGGCTCCAGCTCCCACCAGAAATTCCCAGGAACAGTGACAGGCAGCAGGTGTCACTAATGAGCCACCTGTGAGTCCTGCCTTCCTCCTCTGCTGGCCTCAGAGAAGGAGTCTCCCGGCTTTCAAGGTTTCATGCAGCCAGCCCCAACCTCCAGTGAATAGCCCTGTTTGCTTTTGCCACTTGTTTGTATGCGGCAGTTTGACCACGGGGGAGTGGTGTCAACTGAGAAGTCCCAACCTCCTGGCACACCTGGGGTCCCCTCCTGGGACACCCCAAGTGCTGTAGAGGCTGCATTTGCATTTGGTCTCAGGAAAAGCACGAGTTGACCCTAGTGGACAGGGCCTGGGGAGCACACGTGCTGCCCCGTGCAGGGCTGCTAGGGGAGAACCCACCTCCCTGCGTGTAAGTGCTGTGTCCTTTGTGGGGAGTGGGAAGGCGGTCTCGTGCTTCATGTTCGCTTTCTGTTTCCTCCAGACATTTCAGCGTTTCCACCGGCAGCCCCACTCCCTGACGCAGCAGACAGTACCCGGTAGGCATTCCTGTGCTGTGTCCCCTTTCTCTTGCATGGGCATTTGTGACAGCTGGATCCACATCCCTGTCGTCCCCCTGCCCCCAAATCCCTGACCTCCCACTCTGCACATTGCCGTGTACCTGGGCCAGCCAGATGGCAAATGGCAAACTCCTTGGGCTCATTCACTCTCTAGGCCCGTGAACTCAGCCACACAGATTTGATTAGCCTCTTATCAGGGCAGTCGGCATGGGAAGAGGCTATAAACCTGACCCAGGAGGAGGGGGCAAAGGGCACTCAGAGTTATAGAAACCTACTCAAAATAGTTCCTGCTTTTGGAGCCCGTTTTCCGTGTGAGGCCATGCTGAGCACCTGACTCGTGTTCCCAAGAAGGCGTTGAAGCCGTTGTGATCCTTGATGTGCAGATGGGAAAACCAGCTCAGAGAGGTTAAGAAATTGCATAAAGTCACACAGCTAGGATGTGACGGAACCTCTTCTCAAGTAGAATTTCAAGTTCTGTGCTTGGGCTCGGAGCCCCCGTACTGGCTATCAGATTTGAAGGGGCCCTGGTGGCTACTGCCCGCCCTGCCTCCCCACCACCCTCAGGTTAGTCTGGAGAAGGGGAGTGGGGCCTGGGCCTCGGCCTCGGCCTCCCGGCTGTTGTTCCCACAGCATCCGGACTGCCTCTCCCACAGCCAGGTGGGTCAAAGCAAGGACCCAGGCCCGGGAGCCTTTGCTCAGACCTCACTTGGGGAGTCCCCTGCCCAGCTGAGAGCGGAGTGGCCCACCCTCAGGGTCTCCTTGATGAACCCTGTTTCACTCTTAGGCTCGACGACCAGCCAAAAGCAGACGCATTGGAGGATCGTGAAGTGGAGGTGAGCCATAGACAGCGCCTGCTCCTTCCCCTCCCTCTGTCCGTCTCAGCACGCGCAGGAGGCCAGGCAGTGCAGGGCGCTGGGCCCCGGCAGGGGCCGTCTCAGGTGCCCGCTGCAGCAGATGCGGGCGGGTGTGCACAGCCGGGAAGAACGATGAGGAATGCAATGGAGCAGCTTCCTTTTGCTTTTCTGTTTGGGGGCTACATTGAGCTCCTAAGTCCCATGGTTCCCTCCCCTAGTCTGGCAGCCCGGGCCCCAGCCCTGGAGACTACGTCATTCTGTCTGCGGGGAGGCCAGGCACCTGGTGTCAGAGCTTCCCAGGTGATTCTGATTGTAGCCAGGGCCAAGACCACTGCCTTGACCCCTGAACTACAGTGTGGGCTGAGCCTGGCTCCCGGGAGCACTAGCAGAATGTTAACAGAAACTCTAGTTAAACAAAAGAATACCCAGAAAGAATGAATGCAGTTAAATTCTTCATGCCAGGGGATGTTAACACTCTTTCCTAGTCACTGGTAGGTAGATCTAGGAGAGCCAGGCGGAAGAAGGGCCTCAGGGCCCACCGGGGCCGAGGGCCATATTTCATGGGTGAGGACACTGAGGCTCCATGCTACTAAGTGACCTCCTGATGTCCACAGCAAGCCAGTGCAGGGCTGAGACTAGAACCCGGGCCTCCTGACCTCATGCCTGTCCTCTGCCTTACCTGGTGGGGGCTCCGGGGAAGGGGAGGCAGCTGAGCTCAGCCCCGCTGCCCCTCTCTACTCCTCCTGCTTGCAGGCTGAGGAGCCGGAGGCTGGCAAGTCGGAGGCAGAGGACGATGAGGACGAGGTGGACGACCTGCCCAGCCCCCGCCGGCCCTGGCGGGGCCCCATCTCACGCAAGGCCAGCCAGACCAGCGTGTACCTGCAGGAGTGGGACATCCCCTTCGAGCAGGTGGAGCTGGGCGAGCCCATCGGCCAGGGCCGCTGGGGCCGCGTGCACCGCGGCCGCTGGCACGGCGAGGTGGCCATCCGCCTGCTGGAGATGGACGGCCACAACCAGGACCACCTGAAGCTGTTCAAGAAGGAGGTGATGAACTACCGGCAGACGAGGCATGAGAACGTGGTGCTCTTCATGGGCGCCTGCATGAACCCGCCCCACCTGGCCATCATCACCAGGTAACCTGCGCCCTGGCCCGCGCTGGGGGGCCGCCCCAGCCTCCCCTTCCCTGGGGCCTCTTACTTCTGTGGGCGCCCTGGAGGGTGTGGAAGGGCTTTGTTTTTCTGTTTAGTTTTCAGGTACAGTTGCCATACAACATTATATTAGTTTATGCACCTTACAAAGTGTCATGTTAGTAAGTCCGTCTGGCCCCACACAGTTATTAAGATATTACTGACTGTATTTCCTATGCTATCTGTACATAACATTCCCATGACTGTTTTTATAACTGGCAAAAAAGTTCACCTTTTTTGGAGAGCGTGGAAGTTTTCATGTAGGCAGGTACAAAAAACGGGGTACAATTTCCCCATCGTATAACACCACTGACATTAAAAATTAAGCAAATAGAAGACGCCTCAGGAGAGAGAAAGTCACCTGCTGAGAAAGGTGCGAGGGAAAAGCCGGTCCGCTCTGCTCCCACAGGTGCTCCTCCCCACGCGTGGGCACTGGAAATGGAATAGAGCGAAGAATTTACATAGCCTCCTGTTGGTAAACTGTTTACCTGCTCCTTTGTGACATGGCAGAGACCGTACTGGCTCACACCTCGCTCTCTCCACTTGAGTGCAGGTCTGAGGTCTGCCGTGGTGTTGTATCACCTGCGCGGTGTTGCCATGGTGTGGGTGAAGCCAGCAGCGTGAGGAGCATCAGCTCCCGGCGGGCCCTGGCTCATGGCAGCCGTGGGTTCCTGGGGTGCAAACACTCACCACAGCTGATTCCAGGCCACTGACCTGGTGTCACCAAAAGGGGGTGGGGTTGGGGGGGAGTCTCACGGCCAGGATCTGGGCTCTCTCGAGCGGATCACTGGTTGTCCCCTCACCTCGCCAGTACTCTTTGGTCGTTGTGACCAAGTGTGTGTATCTTGGTGACCATCTGTGAGGACACATGCTGGGCTGGGTCAGAGGAAGTCCTGCCCATTTCCAGTCCAGAAAGTGTTCACTAGTTTCCTCTCCCACCTGGTATCACCGCACGTGCATCCCCGCCCCCAGCACCAGGGGATATGAAACTGAAACACCCCCCTGATTTTTGCCCCTGGCTTTGAAAGAGGTGTTGTTGGGTGTTTACTTCTAAAATCAGGAAAAAGCACCCTTACCAGTGGGGCTCAGTTGGTTGGGCATTGTCCCACCAAACGAAAGGTTCAATTCCCAGCCAGGGCACATGCCTGGGTTGCGGGTTTGACCAGGGTGCATACAGGAGGAAGCTTATTGATGTTTCTCTCCCTCTCTCTTCTCCCTCCCTTCCCCTCTCCAAAAATAAATAAATAAAGTCCTTCAAAAAATAAAACCGGGGAAAAGCAATATGAGGTTAGTGAAGAAATTTTGGAACATACATGGAGGTTTCAAGAAGAAACTAAAAATCACTTTAATCCCATGAGCCACGGGAACCCTCATTAATATTCTGATGACATTCCCTGTAGCTGGACCCGATGCTTTAAGAAACTTTCTCCTCAAACAAATTATATTTACTAAGTAAAAGTTAATTTCCATTTTGTTTGTTTATCAGAAACAGATGTAAATAACCACCCAGCAGCACTCCTGAGCAGTGCGAGACCGCCAGGCCATCACACCGTGTGATGAAACCCACCACACGACAGTGGGGTCTTTAGGGAACCGTCCTCACTGTGGCTGTGCCAGTTCCACAGCCCCCGCGCCCCAGCCTCCAGTGCTGTCCATCTGTCCGTCCATCCGTCCGTCCATCCTCCCATATCTTACCCACCCAGTTCCATAAATTATCCGAGTCTGCCTAAAGGGAATACATACGATAACAAAACAAAGCATTCAGTAACAAAATGTAGCACGTTCTAGAATATTCTGTAGGTACTGGAACACAGATTAGGAACTATTGCCACTCTTCCAGACCCTCATCCAGTTCTCAGGTTCCGAGGCCCCCAGAATCTTCTCTCCTGGGAGACTTTCCTAAAATCTCACCCCTTCCTCTGGTGGTGCAAGTCAGCTTCCCCTGGGGACAGGAGAATGAGCTGAGAATTCTCTCTGGGCTCTTCCTTCGAAGGTTTTAGGGGTCAGTGTGGATGGAGACCCCCAAATGCAGGCCCTTGTCCATTCGTAGCCCTGGCACCCTGGCGCCCTGGCAGGCCCTTCCACCCCATCCCCTCCTCGCACACTCCTTCGTCACAGTCAACTCTGTGACCAGGAAGCAGAAGGAACGATCACGAGCATCATCACAGTGAGCCCGGCGCCCCGCCCTTGCCCTGTGGTCGCCCTGAAAGGCCAGCTCCCTGCCCTCAGAATTTGCATTCACCCTGCCTTGAACCCCCACGGGTGGGCTGCTGTGCACGCCAGGGGCTGGGTGAACCGGGTTTCCTGTTCTGGGTGGGCAGGGTCTGGGCCTCGGGAGTGGGGTACCTGCCTGCGGGAATGTTTTCGTACGTTCAGGCCGGGCCCCAGAAGGAACGGGCGCAGCCTTGGTTAAGAACGAGGATTCTGGTGCCTGCGGTCCGGGGGTTGGCGACAGCCCTCCAGAGGCCCCTCTGCCCACAGCTCTGCCCATGGCCCCTCCTGGGGTCAGGCCGCCGAGCCGGCCCCGGCCGCTGCCTGACCCCACCACTTTCCACACAGCTTCTGCAAGGGGCGGACGCTACACTCGTTTGTGAGGGACCCCAAGATCTCTCTGGACATCAACAAGACCAGGCAGATCGCCCAGGAGATCATCAAGGTACAGGGGTGTCCGCCTGCCCTGCCTGCCTGTGTCAGGGTGATGGTGACGCCTTGTCTCCCCGCTGAGCTGGGGCGCTTCAAGGGTGGGACCCCATCTTCTTCCCTCCATTCGTGTCTTGTCTGTTTGGAGCTGTGAGCTGGAAACTAGGTCAGCAGTTGGACTTGGATTGGTTGGGGAGCAGTGCAGCATTCTTTAAAGACAGATGGCCCGAGTTTGAGTCCTGGTCACACCAGCTGTGTGACTTTGGGCAGGTGGTTTACCCTCTCTGAGCCTTGGCTGCCTCCTTTACAGAATGGGGATACCAACATAGCTGCCCTCGATGGGTTGGCATGAGGGCGGCCTGGGATAATCTGCAGCGAGAGCCCGGTGCTCGGGGCCTGCACTTGTTTCGGGGTCTGGTAGGGGGACTTTCTGTGGGCCGCCGGGGGGAGCACCCACACTTTCTGCCCCGTTGTTCCCAAATCCAGGTTTCAAGAAGACAGGCTCAGCTCAAGAGGCCCTTTTTCTTTCTTTCATCCACTTAAAGTAGTGAAATAAAAGTGACAAAAAAAAACAGCCCTGGGTGGGTGGCCCAGTTGTTAGAGCTTTATCCCCATGCGCCGTGGTTGAGAGTTTGATCCCGGTCAGGGCACGTACAAGCATCAACCAGAGAACGCACAGGTACATGGAGCAACAAATCGGTTTCCCTCTCTCTCCCTCTCTCTCTCTCTCTCAAATTAATTTAAAACGAAGAAGAAAAGAAACTTTTTAAAATGAAGGGAGAACTTACTTGTTGCCTATTTAGCGACAGGCCCAGACAGAAACTGGAACGCCGTGGGCAGGTGCTCTCTTCTCTGGTTTCTGTCCAGCAGTTTTCTCAGCGGCTCCGCGCATCTGGGCCCCGTCCCTGTCGTTCCTTCCTTCTCTGCCTTCTCTCTGCCAGCGTACCGTCCTTCTCCCCCGCCCTCCTTCTGTCCATTTGTGAGTGTGTCTTCCCAAAGGAAAAAATAAAAATCGCAGTGACATTTATGGACAAACGAAGATTGCCATGTGACATTTCCGCATGGCTGAGCTAATGAATTCAACTTTTGAAGCCCCCACAACCCAAATACCACGTTTACGTCTTCCTGGAGGCTCTCATTTCAGAGCAGCTGGAGAGAGCTGCAGTGTCACGCCTGCTCCTTGTCGTCCCCGAACTTGCTGGGCCCTGCTTCTCTCTCCCTGCAAACAGTGTCTGTCCTCATCATCAGAGCACTAAGCCATCTGGGAGGTTCCTGGGCAGAAGAGAACAGACTCAGAGCCATGGCTGGTGGCTTGGTTGGTTGGTGTGTCGTCCGCACACCAAAAGGTTGCGGGTTTGATCCCAGGTGGGACACATACGGGAGGCAACTGATTGATGTTTTTCTCTCACATCTGTGTTTCTCTCTCTCTCTCCCCACCTCTAAAAAAATAAATAAACAAACAAACAAACAAAAAACACATATCCTTGGGTAAGGACTAAAAAAAAAAGTTACTCAAAGGTTTTGTAACTGCAGAGCCAGAAGCTGCTTCTGCTAGTTTTTTCCATTGTTCTCTCTGCCTTTTGGCCTTTTTCGGGGAACTTCTAAGCCCCTTCCATTGTGCTCATCTCTGATGTCCCGAGTGTCTAAATGCAGCAAAAGGGGCCTGACTTTGGTTAAAGAGTTTTCAGTCCGGGGGCCTGTCTGGAAACACTGTGAAATCTTGGGAAGGAGGAGAGTTTGTGCCCCAGACCCAGGTGGTTTCCATCTTGTCTCTTTAAGCTGGTCTTTTGAGGTGGTGGCACCTGTTTTATAAACAAGGCTCAGAGGGGCGCAGACGACCAGTTGTCGTCTGACACACAGCTGGTCCCTGTTCAATACGAGGTGAGGTCTTCGGCTTGCAGGCCACTGAGGAAGGCGTGCACAGTTGCTTTGCTTTGGGAAATGGGCAAAGATGTTTTAAGGATTGTCTTGCATTCAGAACAGTTTGGGGGAGGAGCAAGTTGTCCCTTTCTGGAACTCCCTGCTTTTGTGGCAGGGTGACAGCTGTCAGCGGGCCTGAGGGAGGTGGTCACAGTGGACTCTGCGCCCTCCTGTCTCTCGCAGAAGAGCACCTGCCTTGTGTGAATGCTTCTCTGACCTTCTCCAGACCCACTTGGACCGAGCTCTGCCCTCGGCTAAGTGCTGTCTGCTTCCGCCTCACACTCATCTTTCTGTTTCCTAAACGTGGCTTACTTACCTTTCTGCCCTGAGCCCAAATAACTGCGAAGCCAGAGAGGTTTCATATCTCAAGTGGCACTTCCTGGAGTGAGATGTACACAGGCCTGTCTCTGAGCGGGCTGGGTCAGGCATTTCCATCATGGCGTCTTGCCCCTGTTCCCAAGGGCATCGGGGTACACGGAGCCCTGGGTTTGGTGTTAGAAGACAGCCTGGACCTCGGATGAGGTCGTGCCTATGCAGGGTCACCCACATTGCATACGCCTGGACAGTCAGGGTTCAGTCCAAATAGAGTGTTGGTTAGAAATCACCCACCTCCACCCACCCTTTTGCATGACAGATGAGGAAACTGAGGCTCTGAGAAGTCGAGTATCCAGGGCCGCACAGCAAATTAGAATGTGAGCTGAGATGGAGCTTGGATCCCAGATTTCTGCCCTTAGTCCAGGGCTCTGATGACAGCACAGGTATTGGGACCTCCTGAACTTGGAGATTCCTTCTGTAGGAGTTCCTCTCTGTTCCCCGCCTTGAGCCCTTGCCCAGCCTGAGGGAAGAGGCCTGGGGGGAACAGCCTGAAGGAGCCCACATCACTCAGGTCCTTTATGACTTAACACAGATGGTCTGCTCACACTTCACATACTTCCTGACCCCTGCCTCCCGCGCATGCCCCCGCCACACGTCACATGCTCCCTCAGTCTAAGTTGGAGGCTGGACAGCAGGAAGGCCCGGAAAGGGCAGGCACTGGCCTGAAACCAGATCTCAGCTGTGCAGCCTGGAGCAGGTGCCCTCCCCTCTCTGAGCTTGGCTTTCTCATCTGTAAAATGAAGCCACTTCCCCTGCATAACACTGTGAAGATTAAATGAGGGGATTTGGGTAAGGCATCCCGCTGCCTGTGCAGCCCAGGCATGCGCAGTGGCGTCAGTACTCATCTCCCCGCCCCCTGACGTGCGGCGCGCTGTCTTCCAGGGCATGGGATATCTGCACGCCAAGGGCATCGTGCACAAAGATCTCAAATCCAAGAATGTCTTCTACGATAATGGCAAAGTGGTCATCACGGACTTCGGGCTGTTCGGGATGTCGGGCGTGGTCCGGGAGGGACGGTGAGTGGGCCTTGGGCATCTGGCAGGACAGGGCGGTGTGGGCGGCGCCGGCTGGGCCTGGGTGCCGCCGAGGTCGGCACTCCCGCTCTCTGGTGCTGGGGAGCAGCCCTCCCCGGAGGAAAGGCCAGGTTTGCTTTGGTTCTGCCCTTGTGGTTCTGGTCCAGGGTCAGATTCGGGTGACATGTGGTTTCCTGGTACACTTGCTTCTCAGGCTGACCCCTATGGAGGCTGGGTCCCCTCACTCAGTTTACCAACTTGGGCAGAGGACCAGGGTTCAAGCCCCCAATATGAGGAAGAACGTCAGGTTTTATTTCCCCAAATCTTGAAGGGGTAGGGGTGGAGAGAAAGGCTCCTCCCCAAGCATCTGGGGGACCCCCAGGAGGCAGAGTGGCATCTGTGAGAAGCACGGGCAGATCTGATTTCCTGCGTAGAGACATACTCCAGTCTCCCCAACACCTTCAAGTGCAGTGTCTCCCCCACCCCCACCCGAGACCCCTTGTTGGCCTTCCTTCCTAGAAGAACCTGGTCATCACTCTTCTGTAACAGTCCCCAAGAGCACCAGTGCAATCTGAGCTGCCTCCCTGGGCTGCGTGTGGGTGGTATGCCGGCCCTGGGGCACAGGAGCACCAGGAGGGCCCCTCTGCTGCCGCTGAAGGGCCCGTGTCCTTGCCCTGGCTTCTCGGCCTCTAGGCGTGAGAACCAGCTGAAGCTGTCACATGACTGGCTGTGCTACTTGGCTCCTGAGATCGTTCGTGAGATGACCCCCGGGAAGGATGAGGATCAGCTGCCATTCTCCAAAGCTGCTGACGTCTATGCGTTCGGGTGAGCAGGCCCTCTTCCTGGGCTCCGAGGCCAACTGTGGCCAAAAGCAAGCGCCCCGCTGGGAGGGGAGGTGCGCTGTGAGCCCCGGCTCTGCTGCTCGCTGGGTGAGAGACCACGCTACTGACCTTCCCTTTCCCTACCTGTAAAACGGGAGGGTCGTGGCACCTCCCTGTAGGGTTGCCTCATGAGAACTAAGTTAGGTCATTCCTGGTCTCCCCCATTGCCCATGAGGACACTCTCCAGGGCTAAGAACTGTCGCAGTGGGGCAAGTGGGATGCCCTGCCAGCCACTCTGGTGGCCCGTGACGCTGACCAAAAGAAATAGAGAGAACACGGGGCGGGCAAAAGTGGGTTCAGGGTTGTGTGGATGCACACAGTTTGTTCCTGTGTTATTATTTATTTATTTCATTATTTCCCCTATGAACAACTGTAAACCTACTCTTGCCCCTTCCTGTATGATGTGAGCCGGATATATAAAGTTTTCATTTGGACACACTAAAGAAGAATGCATGAAGAAAAACATATTCAGTAATATATTTTATTTAACTCAATACATCTAAAATATGATCATTTCAACATGTAATCAAGATTGAAATTTAAGATGTTTTACCCTACAAAGTGTTGAAACTCTGGTGTGTATTTCCCACCTAACAGCACACCTCAGTCCCAGTCTCCACAACTCAGTTGCTCAGTGGCCCCCACGTTGGACAGTGGGCCTAACAGAGAACGTCCCCGTCCAGTTAAGTCCGGAGAGGCTGTGGGCTCGGAGAGGCTGAGTGAGGCCTTGCCCTGTAACCTCTCGGGATCCTTCCCTCGGCAGTGGTCTCTTCTCCTCTGACCTTACCATTTCTGGAGCCCCAGTGTGAGCCAGGCACTGGGCTTGGCATCTCTGTTGCTCCTCAAACAACCTTGGATGTAGGCACCAGCCCCGCTGAGGTTAACGGTTACAGCAGGATCTCTGTTCAGAGCTGGCACCACCTCAGACTTTTTAACACAATGCGAGCAGAATGCCACAGATCCTCTAGTACCTGGGGGTAGCCTCCAGGACCCCTCTCGGCATTCCCCGAAGCCGGGCAGGTGAAGAAGGCTGGGGAAGGATCTGGAGGCTCTGCCTGGGCCCCTGGCGTTGTGGCAGCAGGAGCCCCTGGGCATGAGCTGGGCTGAGCGGGCCAAGAGCTCACGCTGCATGGGTGGTCTCCACAGGACTGTCTGGTATGAGCTGCAGGCAAGAGACTGGCCCTTTAAGAACCAACCTGCAGAGGCCCTGATCTGGCAGATTGGAAGTGGAGAGGGAATGAAGCGTGTCCTGGCCTCTGTCAGCCTGGGGAAGGAAGTCACTGTGAGTAGCCACCTGTTCGTTCTGGGAGAGGGAAGGGGCGCCAGAGGGCAGGGTGCGGGCACAGGACTGGGCTGCGCTGTGTTCCCTCCCCAGAAGTGGGGCCTGGAGGCCCCGTGTGGGCCAGGCAGGCCTCCTTGCCGCTGGCAGAAGGGACTGTGTCTTTACTGCCCCACAGTTAACCCTTTTCTTCAACAACAACAACAAAAACAAAATTATCTTTAAAAAAAGACTGGAAGGAAATAAAGATAATGGTTTTAATTGAATTAGAAGCTGGAAAGATAGTAAAGCTCTGTATGTTACAAGGAAAGAAGTTTTTTGAAGAATCATAGCACAAAATACAAATAGTGGGGCTGTGCTTCGGTGTCAGATCTTCCTCCATGTTTTCCTCTGCTGTTCAAGAACTGATTGCAGTTTCCACAGAAAATTTGATTTTAAAATATCGAGTCTTCGTCCAGTTGCTGACCTCACGTGGCTGCGTACCTTTAATGGTTTCTCTGCGTTCCAGCTTGTAAGGGCCTTTGCCCCGACACAGTGATGCAGGGAGCCCAGAGGCCGATCTCCGGTGCCGTCAGCGGTAACCGCGGGCGAGGCAGGGCAGGGCAGGGCCCAGGGGTGCCAGCCCGGACATGCTGAGAACTGCGGGGGGTGTCTGGGCGGCACAGAATGGGCCTTGGCAGCTGAAGATTCCTGTTTCTCTCCAGTTGCTGAGACATTTGCTTTTATTCTGGCTTTTATAGTTTCCTGCCCTATGGTTTCTTTGTCTTGTAGGAAATTCCGTTAGTCAGAATTTGGTCCTTCATAGGGGACCTCCATGTCTTCTACCTCCCTTCATATTTCCCATTCCTACTTAAAATTGGGTAGGAACAAAAAGTGGGGGCATTTCCTTGATTTTATTTTCTAGTACTTCTACCTAATGTTTTATTTCAGTAGTTGCATTGTTAATCGCAAGCCCTTTTTCACTTTGTTGATTGCTTTTTTTATTTCGCCCTGGTCTGGCCTTACGGATAAAGTAGCGTCCTCACGCATATGTACGCTCGCTCGCTCGCTCGCTCGCACGCACGCACGCACGTGCTGTTTCCTCCGGTCGGTGGTTTGGTCCATTCATCTTTAGTCTCCTGTTTTCCTGCGAGGCCGGGCAACCCCGTGGGGTCCAGTCATGTTTAAGAACAGAAGCCCGAGCTGCTGAGTCTCAGGGAATGGGCCTTCCTGCTCTGCCAGGCGGGCACCTCCGCCCGCTGAGTGTGCAGCCCTGTTTGCCCACAGGTGGTCATCCCGACTCGAAAGGCTGAAGGGCTGTGCCGTGTCCGTGCGTGGACCCCGAGAGTAGGCAGCAAAGTGCCGGAGTGAGACGGGCTCTGCTCCGGGGACACTCGGGGCTGCCGTGGTGCCTGCGCTCACCGCCGCCCTGAATTGAGTCCTGTCGCCGCAGCCTCCATTGCTGTATGGCTGAGTCCGCTCCTGCTGCAGCCCCACTCCAGACGCATCAGAGCGTCCTGCATTTCACCTGCCCACACGCTGCCTTCCACTTCGAGTTGCAAAAATGGGTGGCCTTGTTTCTGATGTCTTTTCTATTACCTGTTATTCAACTTCACTACTGTTATTCCAGGGAGGTCTAAGGAGGAAGAAGTGGGGATAGGCTTGTGCACTTCATTTTGAACTGCAAGCATGAGAGCTCTTCGGAAATTCAGTCATTTCTCCGCCCTGCCCCAACAAAGGCCGGGCAGCTCAATGGACCACCTGCTGGGGGTGCTTGCCCCAGCTGTGCCTTCCTCCCTCTCAGGCAGCTCCCTCCCACACCAACTAATGCATGTTCTACCCGCAGGAGATCCTGTCTGCCTGCTGGGCTTTTGAGCTGCAGGAGAGGCCCAGCTTCACGCTGCTAATGGACATGCTGGAGAAACTGCCCAAGCTGAACCGGCGGCTCTCCCATCCCGGGCATTTCTGGAAGTCTGCTGAGTAAGTACCCCTTTAGTGACCAAATTTGCTGGCCAGGGTGGCCTCATCCAGGGTCTTAGAGGGCACCATCCACCCTGCATGCCCAAGGCTGTGGGGGACGCTCAAAGCAGATTAGCCAGGGGTGACTTGTCCCTCCCCAATGTCGCCAAGATCTCATTCACCACATTCATTTCGGAGACTTCTTTGGACGGGTGGCTGTCTCTAGCTCTCCTCTGAGAACTTGCCTATTGCTGTTGTTGAGGCAGTGCTGATGCCGGGCCTAGACCAGGCCCCGCCGAGAAGATTCTGCCTAGACAGGGCCGGGCGGGGCCAGCTGGCAGTAGAGCAACCTGGGTACCAGAATCAGCAGAGTGGCTGTGTTTTAAAGTACCACAGACTCAAGACAGAGCTTTCTAGTCACCAAATCGGCCACCTTTTATGGGAAGCCCGTGGCCTGGGTTCATGCGGTACCTCAGTGCTGCCATCCTGTCCCTGCTTCTGACACAGCCCCCTGCCTTAATGACACAGCCCTCTGCCCCCCAGGGAGCAGGGGCGGCCTCTCCTGGGCCATGGAGACTTGTCATCTCTTCCGTGTTCTACCTCATTTCCTTTCTTCTTCGTCCTCCGGCCCCCCTGTGCAAACACACACTGCGTGAGCATCTCGGGAAGGCCTTCGTTGTTGCAGGCCTCAGTTTCCAGAGCTTTAAAAAGTGGGGGTTGGGCAGGACTGGGGGCACCCACATTTGTAAAAGGCCACATGGGAAGTATTTCAGGCTCAGAGGGAAATTCGAGTCACAGCTGCTGTCGCTGGGACAGTGTGGAGCGGTGACAGCAGCCCCGTGTCTGTCCTCGAGACCCGGTGCTGCAGTCTGCTGTGGGAGGGGCCAGCCGCACGCCCGTCAGGTGCTGCGTGCAGACACCGAAACGTGAATTCCGTGGAATTCTGACATATCACGAAATCTACCTTTGATCCCCCCACCCCCAATAGTTCAGAAAGGTGGAAACCATTCTTAGCTTGTGGGTGGTGCAGAAACACGTGGCGGGCCACATGTGGCTGGGCCCCTGGGCAAGGTACATTGCTTTAAACTTTTTAAAAGGCAAAGGGCACTTTCTGAAAGTGAAATCTCCTACAGCCCTAGCGCACAGACAGACAAAGAGCCTGTCTGTCCCACGCCCAAGGTGGCCCCTGCAGCGCCAGTCTCCACACACCTGCACGGGCACCTGCAGTGCCACCACCCGGTCCCTGGAGCTGCGCCTGGGCCTCACACCTGCTGCCCAGGTGCGCAGGTCCAGCAGCACTGCTCTCTCTCTAGAAAGGGCCGGATACTGAATGTGTGAGGCCTGTGCGTCTCTGACACGTTAGTAGTTGTTGGCTTCTTTTTTTCCTTTTTCTTTAACAACTACTTAAAATAGTCAAAGCCTTTTTGTAGTCAGATGTGGCTTACACATAGTTTGCTAGCTCCTGTCTTGAAAACAAAGCAAACCCACTTCAAGCTGCAGGTGAGGTAAGGCCCAGAATGGGTTGCAAGACCAGACTCCACACGAGGGAGAACCTGAAGAAACGCAGTAAACTCGTTAGGCCAGAGGCAGGGATGTTCTGGAGGAGTGACTGTGTGTGGTTAGTACTGTATTTCAGGATGCAGTATATTTACTCTCTTGTCCTTAAGATGGGTCAGGATCCAGTACAAATGGGGTGACAGGATATTGGCGTTAGACGTGTGGGTTTGACCCAGCCATTGCTGAGAACCTGCTCCACACCCAGGGAAACAGGGCCAAGGCTGGGCGTTGGCCAGTGAGGAGTTTACACTCTAACTGGGGATGAGGACAAGCAGACAGACGCCCTAAGTCTGCACAGCAGGACTCTGTCTGGTCACCTCTGTGTTCCCGGCTCCTCGCGTGGCCGCGGGAACACAGTAGTTCTCAGCCAGCATTCCATGGGTTTGCCAAGCGGACGGAGGAGCGATGGCAACCCACTGAGGGCTGCGAGAAAGCACAGCCTCTGTGGGGGCCCCCTCCCCCACAGGGAGCTGGTCTCCAGAGGAGGTCATTGGAGCTGGGTTTTGAGCAAGGGCTGTCCCGGCAGAGGCCAGGGGCCGGGGGTTCTGGACACGCAGGAAGTTTGTCAGACGTCGGGCAACTCCTTTATCCGTCTGGGCCTGGTTTTCTCATCCACAAAAGAGAAAGCAGTGCTACCTGACTGCTGGCATTCAGGAGACGGTCCCAGATTCCCTAGAGACCAGAGAGCCCCACTGTCTCATTTCACGGATGCAGACCGAGTCGCAGACGACGGCTGTGTCTGGCCCCGCACCGGCAGCTCTAGCCCCTGAAAGGAAGGAATGCCGGCACCCCCGAACGAGCCTGGGTCGGAGCTCCCTGTACGTGGTTTTGTCTGCCACAAACTCAGCCTCTAATTCTCACTTTTCTTTTTCTTTTCCATCGGTCTTGTTGCTTTCTCGTTTTCGGGGGGTGGCTGACGTGATGGCCTGTCCTGTCATCTCCCCCTGCCCCCGCCGTCCTGATTCCTGCGGCTCCTCCCCCGCCCGGGCGCTCTGGGGGCCCCCCCGACTCCACCACCTGCTGGACTTCGCTTTCCCCACATCTGGCAAAACAATCGTGGGGCCACTCCCAGTCGCTGGCGCAGCCGATACTACGGGAAAGGACGTTACGGCCACCCTGACTTTAAGAGCTCCTGTCCAGTTCTGGAGGAATAGTGTGTCTTGTGTTCTTTCCCTCCTGCTCTGCCCGTTTGCAGCTACCCCTGGCACACCCTGCATCCTGTCCTGCCTGCATCCAGCTACCTCATCTTTGTGTGTTTTTTCCTCATAAACCAAAGTGATGCTTTTGCGGCCATCAGGGCACCAGCAAGGGCTCCGCAGGCTCGTGCTTCTCTGGCTGGGCTGAGAGAAGACGCAGGTGTCCACCCACTGTGGCAGCGACGGCTTGTGCCTGGGTGGGAGAGGACTGGATCATTGTCTGAGTCCCCAGGGTGCCCTCTGGCCAGAGTTTAAAGAGGGGAGTGCAGTGAGCAGAAATAGTGAACTCCAGGAAGTCTATTTGAAAGTCAAGGACTGAGGGGCAAAGGGCGCACTGGCCAACTTCTGTATGACATCCTGTGACTGGGGCCCGAGGGATTTGGGGAGGGTTCCTCATGGCAGGCTCCCTGCCATGTGCCAGCTGCTGCCCAGCCTGGAATGGATCGGGGCGTCCCTTTCTCTCTCTGCAGGGAAAGAGGGTCCCTTGCCTTCTGGCCAGGCCTTGGCCGCTCCCCACCCCCACCCCACCCTCATGGGGCTCAGTTCTTATGCTGCTCTCCCCTTCTCTTTCCTCCCCTAGGTTGTAGGCCTGGCTGCCTCGCATGTGCCTGGGGCTTTCTTCCTCCTAATTGGCACTCGGCACCGCGACTTCTGCTCAAACGCAAACTGAGATGTGGGCACTAACCCAGGGGACGCCACCTCTGCTGCTCCAGCCTTCTCTCCTGAGACTTCTTTCGCTTTGTTTGTTTTTAAAACTGGCCCCTCCCTCTCCACGGCCTGTGTGTGCCTGAATAACTGACCTCCATGGAAGATCCCCTAACAAATCTCCCCAGAACCACCTCCTTGGACCTGACTTCGTCCTCTCTAGCCGTTCCTCTGCGGGGTGGTATCGTTTTTTGTTTGGGTGCTCCTGTCTCCCTACTAACAGCTCAGTGAGATCTGTTCCCTCTTCCCACCCCCCTGCCAACTGGCACGTCGGCCTCCTGGTGGCTGGGTTCAAAGTATGGGGGAGGGGGCGAGGTTTGCTTGGCTGTTAACCCGTAGGGATCTTGTCCAACAAGGAGTGGGATGATTTCAGAGCTGCGCAGGGCCAGTCCCCTCTGCAGGGCTGGCGGTGTGGACACCGTAAGGTTGGTTCCCATAGGAGACACCAGCGTGGAAGTGTACTCAGCAGCACACTCAGGAATGTGGTCCTAAAGCAAGGGGTGGCCTGTCCCCAATTTCACCAATAAAACAAAGCTCTTGCCCCTTCCTACCCTCATCGTTACCTCCCTTTACATCTGCCCAGTGCACGTGGAAAGTACCAGACCCCAAGTCAGCGTTCAGCAGGAGTGTGGCTGACAGGCACGCACAGAGTCACGGAAGCGGTTACCAAATGCAGATTCCCAGGGCCCGGAAACCTGAATCCGGGTCTCTGAAGGCAGGCCCCGGCAACCCACACTTCAGCCTGCCTCCCAGGTGGCCCGGTGCACTCCAGTGCAGGAGGACCGCGTCTAAAAGGGACATGTGATGTCTCCGTCAGCTCTGGGGGTCAGGTTTCTCCTCTCTCCCAGTTCCTCCTGGAGCTAGAGCTTCCCTGGGCTGCAAAGGAGGCTGCAGTGCAGGCGAGCCCACAGCAGTTCCCGAGTGTGCCGGGTGCTGGGGATTCCGAGACACACAAGCCCTGGCCTCCAGGAGGAGGGGGCAGCCAGGCGTGACCGGGGCAGCTTGGCGGTGGAATCATCCTCACTTCTTGGTGGGCCGGGCCCTCTGCTGAGCTTCTGGCACTGGCCCAGTCCTTCGCTAGTGTCCCCCCAGTGCTGACGAAGACCAGCAGGGCTGTAACCCTTGTCTCTGTTCCTCTCTGCAGCATTAATAGCAGCAAAGTGGTGCCCCGGTTTGAAAGGTTTGGCCTGGGCGTCCTGGAGTCCAGCAACCCAAAGATGTAGCCGTCTGTGCAGTTTTTCCACGGTTTCTTTTTCCTTCAGTGTGTTTCTCAAACACCCAAAGCACTGCCACAAAAGGCAGCAAGCACTCTGCGCAGCGGCAGCCTCTCTCTGAAGCGCTGCAGGACGGGAGCGAGAGTCCTCCGTTCAGACCGTTCGTTCACAAAAAACACTTTGGTCCGGGAGATGGAGCCGTGCCTGCTGTCCTTAAAATGACATCACCGACAACCAGACCTGTCCCGACAGGCAGCAAATGTTTACATGTGTGTTTCTGCGGAGTGAACGCGCTGTGTTACAATAGGTAATAATAAAGACCGGCTGTGCAGAGGTGTGCGGGCACCGTCGGCCGGGGCCATGGAAGTGGCCGTCCTGGAGAGCCCTGCGGGCGGTGAGCCCGAGCTGGGCCAGAAGGAAGAGGTGCGTCGTGACCGTGGATGTTCTCGGGGCGGGACGGGGGACCACAGGCTCGGGCCTGGCCGCTGCTCTGGCCCCACACCCCATCATTGGGGAGCCTCCCTCTGCAGGGGTCGCCCCTCGCCCTGACAAGAGGCCTCTCCTCTGGCACAGCAGGCCCTGGCTGGGAGCCAAGCTAAATTATGAGGGTCACCAGATCCCAGAGAGCGGGGGTTCACCTCTGACCCCTACAGTTCAGCGCATACAAGCTGGAAACTTAGAGACAGATAAAACCCAAGTGACATTTACACTGACCACAGGTTCCTAACTGGGGTTTCCATCGTCTGTAGAGATGTTTCCTCCAGGAATCCCCCAGGAAGGCACCAAGGAAACGCCTCCGCTTTTTGACACGTCCCAGCCCCTGACTGACATGTGACCCCAGAGCCAAGGCGGTGTGTGCCGTGAAGGCGCCGTGAGAACAAGGCAGGTGTGGGGGAGGCAGCCGCAGCAGCCACCCTCCCAACCCCAGGGTGGCCTGGCTGGCCCCTTAGAAACCCAGGGCTCCAGACCTGCCCACCTCTCCCACTCCCCCAATCCCGCTGAAGCCCCTCAGCCCAGGCCTGGCTCCTCCCATCCATGTCCGGAGCTAAGAAGGGAGCATGTGTCCCTACTTTCATTCAGAGCCACCTAGTGAGCCCCGCAGTCTTCAGAGCCTTCCCAAGGCCTGCTCACCAGGCCTCTGCTTGAACCGGAAGGAAGGAAGGGAGGGCTCCATTTGGGGAAGTCCGTGATGGGAGAGCACCTGGCCTGTCTTCACTAGGAGCTGTTGCCTGAAGAGAGAAGTTCCAAATGGCGAAGAAGCCCTTCGGTGGGCATTAGATCCTCAGGCTCGGATTCCAGAAGTGAACAAAGGGGAGGAGAGTGGCCAGGTGGTCGGATTCGGACCCAGAACAGGTGTCCATGCTCTGAGCCCAGATGGGGAGGCATGTGGTCCCTTTCATGTAGACGCACCTAGCAGAGCTCCTGGAGTCTGCCCGAAACATCCCGAAATGGGCCGCTGCCCAGGACCTGTGAGCTGTGTTCCCCTCCCTGGGCCACCATCCCTTGGGTGTGACAGCACAACTATGAGGCAGCACAGCTATGAAGACCCTGAGGGACCCAGGGTCCTGCTGTCCATCAGCACGCCAGACACACGCGCCCTCCCTCCTCGGTGTGCAGAGAGTTAGACGAGAAAACCAATGGGTTTGGTTCATGGGGTTCTGTTTTCTGTGGGACCCTCCGTTTCTGCCCTCCATGCCTTCAGCCTCCGCCGTCAGCCCTCTGCACGATCACCCCCACCCAGAGCCACCTCGTGTGTCTGCTGCCTATGAGTCTTGCCCTCTGAACCCGTGGCCATGCTGGGGAGCCCAGGGCTTGGACGGCAGCTGAGCAGGTCAGGCTCCACGCCTCCCCAGCCCTGACTTGCAGCTCACGAAAGTCAGTCCGAGCTTTTTTTTTTCTCGTGAGTCTCACACTTGGGGGTCAGTTCAAGAAGCTTTCATCAGGCACCTATCGTATCTTGTGCAAGGGCTGGGGGCCTGAGGTAGGAGCGGCCACAGTCCCCACCTTTAGGGAACTGATGATCTATCAGGAACCCCAAGAGTGTAGCTGAGTGCCTGGGGTCACCCCCTTCCTCTCCAAGGCCTTGGGCAGCCTCTTGGCCTGAGCCCTCCCTGTCCTTTACAAGAAGCATCTGAGGAAACCCCCCCGGGGCCCCCTACTCCCTCTCTAGTTGACTGTGAATGAGGTTAGGAAGACATGCTTGCCCTTTCGTGTGCTCTCCCCGTCTGCCTTGGAAACACATGAAGGACGGCAGATACTGTGAATTCAGCTTGCATGGCCAGCTGTGAAGGGGAAGCTGGGAGGATCTCCGTGGTGAGAGCTCTGGGGGTGCAGAGGCCCCCCTCCGGGGTCTGAGAGTGCAGCCTGCACTTTGCCCCTTCAGGGCCCCCCAGTTCCCAGCCTCACCTCCAAACTCTAGGGCCTGTCCCTGCTGCCTTTAGCCACCAGAGTTGCAGCCATTGGGTCTCCATCCAACTTGAGGTCTTGAATCCTAGCGAGGTACCTGTTATGAGAAGTGGGTAGCAACTCTGACCCCTCCGTGTCACCAAATGAAAGATGTTTGCAGGGCCCTGAAGTCTCTCTGCCCCTCCTGGCATTTCTTGTGATCTCAGAGCCGGGTGGGATGCCCTGCGAGTCTCTGTTCTGTATTGATTTCGGGGCCAGGTGGAGACATGGATGTGAAACCCAATAGGGAGCTTGTGGGGTTCTGCACCGTTCGCCAGGATTTCGTCAGTGTGTGCAAACCCCGCATCTCTGTGGCCACAAGGCACACACTTTTGTTTTTGAATGTGATGTAAAATTTGTACAGTAAAAGTTTTTATATTTTCTATCAACTGCATTTGTCTTCCAGAAATGCTATTAATTTAAATTAAAATGATTAGTATTAACGGACGTGCTGTATCACTTTTTGCCACTGGCAAGAACATACTCTGCCGGGCTAAGCCTGGGGATCTGGAGTTTGAATAAAAATATACCAAGGTGTCTGGGGCTTGTGTCTGCTTGGGTCAGTCGAGTGAGCGTGGGGGGCTGCTCAGCCGGGCGGCATGGGAGGACAGGAATGGAGGGAGTGCCCTCCAGAGAAAGAAAAGTTATGTGTGGACCTCGAAGGCAGGTAGCTCTCAACAGATGGAGGAATGGATAAGGAACAGCATCGGAGGCTCATGGTACACAGAGGAAGGTCATCCAGCCCCCAGCATGACAGCTGGGGGTCCGTGTCTCCTCGGCTGGAGGTGCTCTTGCCTTGTAGAAGCCTTGGTTAGTGGGAGGAGTGGTCTTTTATCCAAATCTAATTTCTAGGAGCCCCTCCTTGCCAGTAACAGAGAGGGTGCCTTGGAGGTTGGGGTAAGCAAAACAGATGGAAGAGATGGGGAACCAGCATTTGTGGGACCCCTTCCTCTGAGCCAGGGAGGTGCTATCCCTATACCACCTAGCCATCTAGCCCTCACAACACCATGAGTTAGGAACTGTCGTGGAGTTTCAGCTGAGGAAACTGAGGTGTGGAGAGGTTAAGGGCCTCACCTAAGATGCCACAGCTGGTGGGTCCAGGACTCAGACTCCCGAATCTCCTTCTCATCAGAAGTCAGGGGATGTATAGATCAGACATTTATTGTGCATCTACTTACTATGTTCAAAAGATGGTGCTAAGTGCTGGGACACAGATAAAAGGTAGTGCCCTTGCTCTCAGCCATGAGCCAGTGAGTGGCCCAAGGAAGGGTCCCTCCGTCTACCTGGCAGGCTTCGTGGAGGGGGTGGCCTTGGAGCTGACTTGAAGGGTGAGCAATGTGTCTGGTGCATATAAGCAAAAGGAGAACATTCTACCTTGCAGGAGTGCCACAGGCCACGGCTCTGGGAGTACATGGATGGTATGCTCGAAAGTCGCAAGTATTTCAGCTGTTGTAAATTGGAACCTGGGTGTAGAATGAATCTGGAGGGACCCAGTAGGTGCCAAGCCACTGAGTTTAAGCTTTAACAGGACAGCCCTGGGGAGCCATGGAAAATTCTCAAGCAGAAGAGGACCATAATCAGATTTAAGTTTTGGCTATATAGGATGGATTGGGGTAGAACTAAACTAGAGGCAGGAGAGATCGTGAAAAGATCTTTGACTGGATATGAGGGAGAGGTGAGCATTCAGGATAATTCCCCAAATGTCTGCCTTTGTGGCTGATGAACTCATTCCCTGAGAAGGTGACCCTATGGTTGGGGGTCACAGGACGGGTCATGCTCAGGAGGCATCCAGGTAAGATCTGGGCAGAGAGACATCACCAGGTGGTGGACCCCGGAGGAGAAAGGGCTGGGAGGTGCTAAGACCCTGCCTGGAGCCAGCACCCACACCTGCCAGCACCTGTCTCCTTGTTTTTGAAGGAAGTGGGCTCTTGCTGCCTGGCGTATTTGCTGTGAAGATGGGGTAAGTGAAGTGAGTGAAGCGCTCAGCACGAGGCGCATGCTCCAGGCCTGGTGGCTGCCCCGAGGTGGCCAGGCTGTGCACCCTCACTTCCCAGCGCACCAGGCCTATTCCCTGGGAGGGGAGCTGCACTGTAACCCCGATGCCTCCCTTCTCTCCAGCCCAAATGGGCTCCAGCAGTGGATCTTCTTCAGTGTTTGTGTCTCATGGTGGCCCATCATGTTCTCTGGATCCCAACGTGGGTGCAGGTTTCCACCTCCCACCCCCGTCCCACCTTTACAACAAAAAGCCAGAAAAAAAGGTTGCCCTGGCTAGGTAGCTTAGTTTGTTGGAGTGTCATTGCAGTATGCAGAGTTGTGGGTTTGATCCCTGGTCAGGGCACGTGCAAGAAATGAGCAATGAATGCATCAGTAAGTGAAACAACAAATCAATCTCTCTCTCTCTCTCCCTCTCTCTCTCTCTCTCTCTCCCTCAAATCAATAAATTAAAAAAAATTACTTGTCAGTCATTTCAGTAAGTTTCTGGGCCAGACAGCAGAGCAGCACGGAGAACATCCACATGGAGGCTTATCCATCTCACATCACTGAGTAGGGCTGAGTGTCCACTGTCTATCCCCATGAGCCTGTGGCTGGGCCAATATGTCATGGGATTAGAGAGGCCTGGGAAGGGGGGTACAGAGGGCCTGGGTTCCTAATCTTACCTGATCCCTCCTTTGCTGGGTGGATTGGGCAAGCCTTCCATGGCAATGGGGAAGGAAGGCCTGAGTCAGGCAGGATGGGGCCTGGGATTTGCCCTATTTCTTGAGCACCACAGTCATCCCTGTCTGCAGCTGGGCCCATTATGACAGCTGCAGCAAAGGGACTGCAGAGCAGCTGCTCCATGTGGAAAGAATAGCAGGACTTAAATGGGCGAAAACCACTGAGAGATATGGCTGCCAAAAATAATAAACTCATCTTATGTTGCATTACTAGAAGCACAGTGCCTAGGAACAAGGGAGGTGAAAGCCCCACACTATTATGAGTTGGTCGGATTCCTCAGGTACAGGGTCTAGTTCTGGGCACACCAGGAGGCCAGAGCAAAGCAACAGAACATCACGGAATGCCTCCTAAGTGGCAGGGCCATGCAAGGTGCTTTACATAGGTTCTCTCATTTCATACCAGGCAAATTATGTGAGACAAGTATTACCCCCATTTATAGAAGGAGAAACTTGGGGTCATCAGGCAAAGTAATCTGCTCAGGGTTATCCAACTGACAAGGGAACACCTTGGACTTGAAGCTACATCTGGCTGACTCAGTGAGTGCTTTTGCTTCAACACCTGGGCTCCTTGAAGTAATAGGCCGCTCCATGGAAAATATCATTTCTTTCCACATTACACTCTTCTCAGGAGATTCCTAGATATAAGAGAGTGGACTCATTGTTCTTTCCTGTTCAGCAGAGGAGCCTCTAGTTCCCACTCCCCAACACCTCTCCAGAACAGGCCCTGGATGAGATGGTGTTGACAGGACCCAAAGGGGAGCCTGACACGCTGGGCTTCCCACTCCCCACACACAGACAATATTGTTCAAAAATGAAACCAGGAGTCTGGTTCTGGCAGAGCCCTCCTTGGCCCTGGGCAGGCACAGAGCCACATTCCCCTGTGACAAATGTAGCCCATGGAAGGAAGCCTGTCCCATGAAAAGGCGTCTGAGAACTGAGGGAGGGTGGTGCAGTGGTTAGCAGCACAGGCTGTTCTATTGCCCCAACAAATAGAATGTGGTTGAAATGACACTACCTAGCTTCTGGGGTTAGGTTATGTTTATAGAGTGGCTCCCACTCTCTCCGGCAGAGATGAGCTCTCCCCATCTAGTCTTGCTCAAGTTCAGATTTGTGAGCCAGATAAATATTGTTTGAAGCTACAAAGTTTTCATATAATTTTATGCAGCAATAGATAACTAGCACATGGGCTAGCCTATCCTGCTAGTCTCTGTTCAACCATTTTCCTTCTCTAGGTGCTAAAGCCATTTAAGACAGTTTATTTAATATGTCACCCTGACCTCCATGTCACTTGGAATGTTCCACCATGCCCAAGACTTCTTGTCTCCCTGTTCTAAAGCCCAGAAAGAGAAGGGACACAGGAGTCTCTCTTTTCCCACCATCGTGATCCATGACGTTGGTACTTCTTCACCATGTGTTCTCGTGAGACTTTCAGGATCAAGAGGTTCCTGGTGAAGAAACAAAAACTGAATTGACCCATTTCCCAATGGATTCAGGTGAAAACTGGTAATAGAATTGGGTACAACTCCAAAAGATGACATTGGAGAAGAACCCTACTGGGTTTATGAGGAATGGCACATAAGACATAGCTCCATATTTGTGTTCCATCCAGGTTGTCTGACACTTCAAATCACTAAAAAATGCACTACTGTCTGGACAGTTGGGCATTTTAATTGGGAAATTATTGAAAAAAATATTTTCTCTGTTGATTTTTTTCTGCAGTAGTAGGTTGGTTCATTTATAAGTGTGAAACCATGTAGATCAAAACAATACAAAGGAGAGAGGAGAAAGAGGAGAGAAGAAAGAGAAAAATTCATGGACAAGAGACTCTTCCTTTCTTCCCTGGAGTCCTGTGGTTTATGCCCAGGGAGGTTATGTATTGTCTGATGAGGTCTTGTGCTTAACTGTTTGGCTTTGTTTAATTCTCTCATCTCAGTTTCTCCATTCCACTTGCCCAAGAATTTCCTAGCTTCTATTATCCTGTCTCATTCCCCTCTCAGAGACTTCCATTTCTAAAATCCTTTAGGGGTGATGAGAGAGTTGATTCTCTTATCAATAACTGCTTCCTGCTGATAAGGGCTGTAGTCCCTGCCCAGGTAGGGTATGGAAGTCTCTCCCTGCCTCATATAAGGGAGACAAGGGAATGGGGTTTGAGACTGGAACAGAAAGCCTGTTGGATTTTTCCAAAGTGGGGATAGGCTGGAGTCCCCAAAGCATCATCATCTTGATATGGAATTGTATCCAATTCATTCATCTAGTCTTGACAACAAGTTCATTCAGCCAAATCATTGAGTCTCACTTCAGGAGGTGGCAATGCCAATAGACATCTAAAATGAGGCTTATACTGTCTAAACAAGTAACCAGGTAAACAAGGTCATAGTATACACTCTGCAAAGACAGAAGGAACACAAAGATTAATGAGCACAGTAAACCATTAACCAGGTTCTGAGTCTGTTAGAGTGTCAGATGAGAAGACTTCCAAATGTAAGACTTTTGCTGAAATGAAAGTAAGCAGTGACAATCACATAGGTCCTCTTTATCTGTGGTTTAAATGTCTGGTGATATCATCAGATGCTCAGGTAAATTATGTATGGTTCACACTGCATCACTAGTTCTCAATAATTCCAAATCAAAAGATGAATGAAAAATGAAACAGTAGTGAAAAAGAAAACTATAAAAATTCAGGATCCAATTGAGTTTGTAGGTTAAAAATAAACCTTTAACTGGAGTCCTATATCCACAATTGGACATAGCGATTTCCAATTTCTCTCCCCAGAATTACCCTCATTTTTTTTTATCAAAGAGACTGCATTAAGTACAGTTTTT